ATTTTACAACTTTTTGGGAAAAAATGTAACAAATTTTTATTTCTTGTCATATTTATTGGATATTTTGTCATCATGAAATTCGAGATTCCTTTTAATGATGGTGCAAATTTCATAACAATTGATGAATTTTTATTATCAGTGTTATGTTTTCCAAAAACGATGTACCACTGTGCATGTTTCTTTAATTGACGGCACATTTGCCTTTAATTGGGCGAACGTACAGGTCCCGACGCAATAAGCTTTATTTGATTTAATACACTCAAAAATAAAGTTTGCTATCAAATCAGAATGTTCATAAAACATAAACCTTGCCTTTGTTTTCCCAATTCTAAAAGCAGGCCAAATAAACTATGATAATCGTTTGACTCTCGAGACTACAGAACTTGAACTTGAACATACTAGAATCGAAGTTACCTATAGTTACGCTTGTAAAGTTAATTATATGTTTAACGGCGTGCTGAGTGAATGTATCTAATCAAATTTGTGACATACCCATAAGATCGTAGATCACAATTCTAAGTTTAAAATGTAATTTGGATTCGTAAGAAGTATTTCTGTTTTAAACTTACCTTTGCTGTCTGAAAAAGATCAATATTCATAGACGGGGATGTTGAAACCTATATTTCCTTTGAATGACCTGCATTTGTACTACGAAATGATCCTGTGGAGAAACGTTGATGAATTCCAAACAGCTAGTTCTAGCAAATCTACTAGTATAAGCCTACTGTCTAAAAGTATTTCAATGTTAAAAATATCTATTCAAATGTTTCATTTTTAAAATGATCTTGGCTTCCCCTACCTTAAATGTGTGACTAATGAAGAATGCTTTTTACCACATCAAACTTAAGACGTGAACTTGACAATTACTCGATACATGTTATAACGCGATTTTCTTTCATTTTCTACAAAAATGGTATGTTTTCGAATGGTCACTTATGTTAATCTATGACCGTGGTATGATTGAAAATGAAAGAACTGAACCAAGTATTGTCGATTTGTTTGAATTATAAGATTTATTTTGATTGATTTAATCACTTCTTGAATTTTAAAACTTTTGTCCGAATTACATCTGCTATGGAATAAAGTTCAAATATACCTCAGAATTGCTTATTGAATTAACCTAGCAATTAATTTGAAAATAATTCTTTACATAGGTTATATATCATAGATCATAGATATGTAAAAAATAAAAATGTGTTTTGAAAGATGAATTGATAACAAACGTTTTCGCACACGTGCCATTTCCACTTTCAGCACACTTAAAACACGAAATCCCGTATGACGTAATATAACGAAAATGCGCAGATAATTGATATTTTTTATTTTAATTCAACTCACATTGACCGTTCAGTTATGAACGTGTTTAAAGGTCTCATGTTAAAATAAATAAATATGTGGAAAGGCAATGGTTTAAAAGCTTATGAAAATGTCAAAATCATAATTCAGTTTTTAAAATAAGATATTGACATGCATTCACGCACATGTGACATTATCTCTTTTTGTGCGATTCAAACATAAAAATCTCATTACAGTTGTACATAAGAACCAATCGTAGCCATGCCTTTCTAATAGAAGGAACTAAATTTGAATCAAAAAATAATTCTGTGTAAAGATGATTCCCCATAGGTATAATAAATGTGAAAAATGTCAAAAGATTTATCAAAAATTAAATACTCACACGCTTTTAAGCACACATGACCTTTTCAAGTTTTGCTCATTTAATTTACCTTGAAAACCAAGGAGACCGAACGCAATTTCTAAATACAACCTTGATACGTGTACCAGGTCTATAATTGCATTTTCTCATTGAAGGAACCAAGCAAAAATTATAAAAATAATTCTGCGTAGAGGTGATGCTTCACAAATAATATTAATGTCAAAAAATTAATTCATTTCTTCAAAATTAAATACTGACACGCATTTACGCACACATGACCTTTCCAGTTTTGCATATTTCATTTACCTTGAAAACCAATGAGACTGGGCGCAATTGCCAAATACTTCTTTGATACGCGTGCCAGGTCTCTAATTGCATTTTCTCATGGAAGGAATCAAGCAAAAATTATAAAAATAATTCTATGTTAAGGTGATGCTTCACAAATAATATTAATGTCAAAAAATTAATTAATTTCTTCAAAATTAAATACTGACACGCATTTACGCACAAATGACCTTTTCCAGTTTTGCTTATTTCATCTACATTGAAAACCAATGAGACTGGACGCAATTGCCAAATACTTCTTTGATACGCGTGCCAGGTCTATAATTGCATTTTCTCATGGAAGGAATCAAGCAAAAATTATAAAAATAATTCTATGTTAAGGTGATGCTTCACAAATAATATTAATGTCAAAAAATTAATTCATTTCTTCAAAATTAAATACTGACACGCATTTACGCACACATGACCTTTTCCAGTTTTGCTTATTTCATTTACCTTGAAAACCAATGAGACTGGACGCAATTGCCAAATATTTCTTTGATACGCGTGCCAGGTCTATAATTGCATTTTCTCATGGAAGGAATCAAGCAAAAATTATAAAAATAATTCTATGTTAATGTGATGCTTCACAAATAATATTAATGTCAAAACTTTAATTCATTTCTTCAAATCCAAATACTGACACGCTTTTGCGCACACGTGACCTTTTCTTCTTTTGCTCATTTTATTTATCCTAAAAATCAGTGGGCCTAAATACATTGTCCGATACTTCTTTAATACGTGTCAGGTCTAAAATTGCAGTTTATCATGAAAGAAATCGAACAATTATCATAAAAATAATTATGTGTAAAGGTGATGTTCTTCAGATTATATAAACATCAAAATTGTAGTTCATTTATTGAAAGTTAAATATCCACATGCTTTTAGGCGCAAATAACCTTTTCCCTTTCGTTCATTTTATCTATCTTTAAAATCAGCGAGCCTGAACTTATTGCTAAATACTTTTTGATACGAGTCAGCTCCAGGTCTAAAATTGCATTTCATCATGGAACAAATCGAGCAATCATTATGAAAATAATTCTGTGTAAAGGTGATGTTCCAAAGACAATATATATGTCAATTTGATAATTCAGTTACTCAAAATGAAATATCCACATGATTTTACGCACACATGATAATTTCCTGAATGACGCTACTTTTTGGATTCAACCATGCATATAACGTCGTAAAATACACATTTCTACCGAAATTATACCCAGCCGTTTTCGTAGAAAATGTAACAAATGAAGGCATTTTATCGGAACTGATTGATATTTGGTACTTATAGAATATCGTATTTACTTTAACTTTTAAGCGATTCAGACATTTAAAAAAATTATGTTTAATCAATGTTAATTTCGCACGAATATAGGGTACAAATATAGTGAAAGTCTCAGGTGTTTGATTGTATTTTACTCCCATTTATATGCATTTTTCTAACATTAAAATGAGATAGTTGGACAGAAGAGATCAGTAGAATTCTATCCGTCACTTTCATTTTCAAATGTTTAAATGTTTCCCATTTCATTGGACCTCATAAAGATGGTAGCCAACGGACCAGAAACAAGTAGTGCGATGACGTCATATATCGCTACACCACTTTGATATAAAGTTTGGTAAACAACAATGGGTTTTTTCAATGTGCCGTCCTACTGGTATTTTTTGACGCTGTACGGTGACGCCTGCTTACGCGATGGTTAGGCGTAAGTCAAAAAGCCACCAATCTGTAGGCAAATTGGTCACAAGAACAGTTGAAAAGGTCTTTTCAATAAATTCTGATCACTTTTCTGGTGGATCAAAGAAACAATCTATGATGCCATACAGTAAAACCTGTCCCAGTGGAACACATTTGGAAATTAAAGTCTAAAATGTATTCCACTTGGGAAGTGTTCCACTTATAGGGGTTAATTTAAAACCAAGTCACTTGTTCTTGGGATTCTGAAAGTTTTCCACTTTGAGAGATGTTCCACTTTACAGGTTTCACTGTACTTTGTCTGGCTGCAATGTTTGTTTATAAAATCGCCTCTAACAATTATCAGTAAGTTAATAAAGAAATAATATATAATATAATATATAATCCTATTCTCTGCTTTGTAACTGTAAGAATGACATCATAACAAATCCACAGTAATGGGACACTTAAATAATCATATTTTCACTAATATTAATTTTAGAAGGTTGAAATGTAAATCACACTTTTATTTGAATATTATATAGATGTCGTATGAGTAACGTCGAACGTAAGAGTAACGTAGTGTAAGATATAATAGTGTAACATTTTCACCTATTGACAAGATTGTCAATCGTTAGAAAGCATTCCTTTGTCAGGAAATAATATACACATACATCGACTACAGTCTTCGAGTTTATGTTGAATCACTGGAACTAAACATCAATATTCTCATATGCTCGTTTACTCCTAGTGCCCCCTTCCCTAGTCTTGTTTCTAGACGCTGGACCCCTATATCTATCTACTTCAACAACAGATGAAAAGCAACCTGATGAAGTAGATAAGGGGCCTCAGGGCGGGGTCCATGGTCTTGAAGCAGAACTTGTTTGCCCCTTATAAATAGAGTGTCGATGCAGGGGCATCGGTCACTGAATGTAGCCACGTCTGTAAAATGATTACTTGTCACGATTTGTCTACTACCTCCATGTAATTGAATTAATCAATTTTGACCTGAATGGGGCTATTTTTTCTCATCCCAGATTAGACAATATGTACCTATATATAGCCAATTTATGTGACACAATATGGCCTTCATGCAACCTATTCACTATTCAGACCGAATCACGACCGAGGTTCTTCAATTGAGCTCATGAAATCATGAAATCGAAATTTGTTATATCATAATATATATATGTAGCTGCCATGCAAAATCTTTTCATGATGAACGTGATCTTCAATATTTTTTGTATTTGTATTTGTAAAATTTATTAAAGTGTCCTGGGCATATATTAATACAACATGTAGCTAAAATACAAATGGTAATAAAATTCAGGTTGCATTTACTTTCAGCAAAAAACTTCACATGCGGTACGAGTGCTACATTACCCTCAGAAGACAACTCAGGCGCTGGAGACAGTAAACCTCCAAGTTCTGGCCAAAACTCAATCAATGATAAAACATCTGGGAAGGGGGCTGATGTAACTGAGAACGCAAGCACACCCCTGCCTCTGGATTGGCAGATTCCTACTGGACAGACTGCCCCTCCCAGAGTATATGAACTCGCAGAGCGCCGACCTGATGAACAAAGTGGCAATGGAGACCGTAAGTAATGTCTGCTTGTGAGATTGATCACCAAATGTCACCATTAGAAATATAGGTACAACACCAACATTGATAGTTATGAATATTTCAAGCTCTTATATTGGCTTGATGCAAGCCTCAGAAATTCATTGAATGGAGGGATGAATATTATTAATGGGGTCCATTATTCTGCAATTGTGAGCACGTTGATCAACGTCAAAGTGTATTTGATCCACTTTTGCTAGTCTACTGAGCTACAGGCCTCTGTGACCCCCTTCCCCTCCTCCTCTACAAAACTACACACCTTGGCGGGGGTCACAACTGAGGGTTTGTGGCTAGACGATTTTTCCATCTATGAAACACTACTCTGTATATATCATATTAGTATATGCATGTCGTGGACAAGTCCGTGACGAATTGACATGCTAACAAAGTGCAACTATCGCATTTCTTTATTAGAGTTGTCAAATATGGTAACTTTTATGTTTTGTAGAAACTGCAGTTATAATAGGTGGCAGTGTGGGAGCATCTGTGTTGTTCTTGCTGTGTGTCGCTCTGGCGGGTTTCTTGCTGTGGAGGAGGTAACTAAAATACTAAAAACCATTGACAGCATGTTCTAAGTTCTAACCATGGCTTTGTATAGGAAAGAATATCCATTTGTCCATGTAGGACTACGTTATTAGCACAAATGCTGGTTTAACTATTTTGTGTAATTACTTTTATCTCAACCGGTCCTATCTTTCTGAAAAAGTATACTTCCTATGTTTGGTGTAAATATTTCAACTAGGCAAATTCTAACTTTTGAACTCTCGCACTTCTAGGCATCAAGATATAAAAGAAGCAAAAGAGAGAAAACAGACAGAAAACGATGTTCGTGAAATGAAGGACCTTGGGCCGCGTAATTCGCCCGAGGGAGGAAGTCACAACATGAAAGAAAAAAATTCCACGGCATTGACTGAAATAAAAATAGAATCATCTAAACAAAAAGATCTTGAAATACAAAGTGATTTTTCAAAAGGAATGAGTCCCGATAGACGCTCTTCAGGCATATCAATAGGGGACGATACATCCCCGGACACAACTCGGGAGTCTCCGCCATTTCCCGATGAAAATGGCGGGAGTTTAAATGGATATGTATCAGACGATATCTGTTATGATTTAGATTCAGACGATCAGACGAACGAATCTCACAGAAACGAAACAAAAAGGGATAGTTCTTTTGGTACATCCGAGTTAAAAGACAGTGAGGCAGACGCGAGGGTAGTTGCGTTTAGTCAGAACACCCGTGAAATTAAAACTAGTCGAAAACGGAGAGGGTCTCAAACAAGTATAGCAAGCAATACAGAAGCGACAGAAACATATGCATGATCATGATATTTATAACAGTGACCGTTAGAACTCCAGATATATAACGATCACCCACCATTCAAAAATTCTAATTCATGCAAGAAAAGGTTCGGAAGAATTTTACATTTTTTTCACCTCCGTCTTAATCAAATGTCATCAGTCAACTTAGAAGTATCTCGATATTTCCAAGCTATGAAGTTCCCTGGTGTGTCCATTTCAGCAATTCAACAGATGTAAAAGGACGAGAACTCATAACTCATAACCTACATCCTTAACACTCGGCTTGCTTAACCTAACCATAACCTTCCTCAACCGGGCATATTTTTAATGTTATACATAGTATGTAAAGTACAAAGCGTGCAATAAATGGTCCTAATATCAGTTAGGGTCTCAAAATTTAGAAAATGGTGAATCCTATGTTGGATTGACATTGTGACGATGAGAAATGAAAATTGAAAAAAAGAATCTTACGCAAGGTGATGGAATAAATGATAATTGAGATTTTGCTACTGGAAATTGAAAATTGTTATAAATTAGGCGACGCCATTGATTCAGTGTACAATTCCAATCCATTTTATCCTCGCCACACGTGTGTGATCTGAAAGAATCCTGGTATGATTGTCACGATTCGATTAAAAAACAAAGTATTTTATTTCCTCATAATCATCGCCAATATATCGGTTACCGCCTATAATTAAATAAAACATTGATTGTCTAAACTGTATGCAAAAAACTGTAACAGTGCTGCTCTGGGGCAGAGAACAGAGAGGTCAACTGGAAATAATGAAATTAATGAGGGTGGTTAATTTCATTGGATATATAAGTCATGACCAAAATAAGAATTCAACCATATAAAATGGCTATACTATGTTTTGATTGGTCGAAATGTGATATATCATGCCTAGTTACATGTGTAAAAATTTAACATTTCATGTTCTAACAGGAGCATTTAAGGATTATTGTAATCTACAAAGGTTAATGTAAATTGTTTTTCAGTATGGCATTCGGAAAATGATTTATTTTGAAGATCGTAATAAGCCGAAAACCAAGTGAATAATTCAATGAGCTCGAAGAATGGGAGTTCAAGATTATTTATAGAGTCACAAAGTATAATTTTCCATGTTGGAACTCGAGACTACATATTTAAAAACAGAATCAGACATAGAGGGTGACAAAATTGCAAAAAGTGACCCACTTATGTTTATCTCAGATACATTATCTAATATTAATCAAACGTGTGTGAAATATGTCAATTCTTCCAATTTAAAATAAAAGTGGGTCGCCTAATTTGAAACAATCGTTTGGAAGATTGCTGAGTACATTTTCTGATTCTACCTTTAAATTCAATCCACTCTTAATTCCGTGCATGGAAAAGGTATTTTATTAATTTGTAAATGATGGGTAGTCCAAAATCGTATTCTTATTATGAAAACGAATGGTGTATAATTTCTACAAAATATATTTTCAATAATAAAATTAATGCAGTTTGTAGTAAAAAATTATTGTTGTTATTATTGATTTGTGAAAATTGTAAAGGAATATGATGCGTGTAGTGTTTGAGTCATCAGGAGAAAAGAAGACATGGCGTTATATTTTCGAAAGATTATAAAAAGCAGCCTTTGCTTTCCGAAGATATTGAACCTTGAAATGAATATGTATAGCTTTTAAGAATAATTCTGGGAGGAATGGATATGGGATTTATTCTATACTATAATATAAATCCATATTTCTAGAGGAACAAAACTCTATTCAATCAAGAGCTTCGTCTTCAGTAATTTAGAATTAGACTCTGCGCGCATGGTAGATATTGGATCTTTGGATGATCTTTTCCAAATACTATTCGTATGTTTGTAGATGTATTGATAAAAGTCTATCCTGCGTAAAATATTAGCTGGGTATGGATCGAAATAGTCATACTGATTTGAAATAGTGATCCAAAACGATTTTGCGTATACCCCTGTTAGGTGAATACGATCTTCGTATGAGAAATGTGATATTTTGATCATTGTGTGACAATATCATAGATTTTCCCTGGTGTCATTTATTGGGTACTTTGGCTATATTGGATATAAATTGTAGATATTGTAGATTGTCCATATTTCATGATTTCAAGTTTATTACTCTCCAACATGACACATAGCCCGAAGAACGATACCATTTCTGTAATTGTCTCATATTTGTGAACAAACAATTAATATCTATAACTGTAATTAAATCACGAAGCTCGATCACGAGCAAGTTCTCACAAAACTATCCGTAAACTGACTAAGTGTGACGATCTTAATTCTTCCAAAGCAAAGTAAGGAATGAAATATGTGAAATCTCTGCATATGCATCCTAGATTCAAGGGTACATGTAAATCACTTCATTGCATAATCATGAGCTAGGACAGTGAATACCCGATCTTGAAGCATCCGCATGAGAGATAGCGACTTTTAAACACAATTCTATGTAGTATGATGAATATGATACCGTAGTAGACTTTTCTAATTCGAATATGCCAAGTGTGTCTCAGTCAATTCAGAATATTTCAGTGAATAAATACGAGGTATATGGTCAACTGAGCAAAACGATTATTTTATGAACCGTGCATTATGGTCTCATAATGAACTGAGTAGTGCCATTAGTTAAAAAAATAGTGACTATACTACAGTTCATTGTGGTTTCATAAAGAACTGAGCAATGTCATTTTTATAAAGAATGGAAATGATATTTGAATTGCAATAAGAACCCTGTATCATTCTTTATTGGATTAAAAGCATTCATGGAGGTGATCGTGTACCGGGCGTGTCATTCGTAAATAGAAGGTATGGGTAATTGTCTGTCCTTCAGAAAAAAGCATGATGACAGAGTCCGAGGGCGGATACACCGATTCGCGTTCGGCGGTAGATCAATGTCAAAACTTAATCTATGCCTTGAAAATTTATCTGCCGATCAAAATTCCTTGTCTGAATTATTCACGAAAGTATGTCTCATGAAAATACCATTTGACTCACGAGTCGGGAACTTTCATAATTATAAAATTTACTATCACTATTGGAATTTCAAATGTGCAAGTTATTTAATGGAGTATCGTGATATTCCTTTCAATTTGTTGTTGCTGAAAAGCACAATGCGAAATCCCAGAGAGGTTCTCAATGTGAGATCATAATGTACAAAAAGAAACGATTTGTAATGCCTGCTATTGCATAATCAAGACCTGCATCTATTCACGCATCAATGTGTTCATTTGGGCCCTTGTTTGCTCACATCATCGTCTAGGTCTTGTTTTTCAGCCTTGGCGTTCGGGCCTTGTTTGTCTCTGTCATGTGTATTCATCGATCTGCTCCATCTTATGCCATTCTTGTAATCCAGTATATCTTTCAAAGTTGCAAAGTTGTTATACGTCATGACAATTGTCATTGGAAAGTATTTGACAATTAAACTTTTGGTTTGTTTTGTAGATTTAGTAGCATTAACCCTTCTCTTTGTCCCTTGAAAAATTTTCATATCAAATAAGTCTAGAACCATCTTCCAGGTCCATGGAACATAGTTCGAGGGGTATATCGCCGTAGGTAAAACAATAAAAACATAATATGACCCTCCATCATAATACCGTTTAATTACAGTTATTGAGCTCCAAATTAATAATGTCTCTCATTACATTGTAATGACGACCATTTGATTGTACTACATATACTAATTTTGTCAGTTTGAATAATTTTGTTAACTGCTTTTAATCGATGGGAACTGGAATGAAGTTGTTTTGATCAAGCTGAAACCAGCAAAGGTTCTTTTGCCAATTACACTTAGCTTTTATACACTGGCGACAACATAAAGGACCACCGAAATATGATAGGGAAAAATAGTTCATACAAATTATAAGATGGATTTAAAATTAAAATGCACTTTGACATTGGAACAAAGCTGGATTTTGATACTTCTCTCATTTCTCATGTCGAATGCAATGTGTGGTAAGTGCTTATGCTCCAGTTTCATATTTTTCATATTCTTATACTCCTCAGATTGCCCTTTGTTCTATACATCAAACTAAATACTAGATATAGTATTCAAACTGGGATTTTCTTATAAAGTCAATACTAAATAATCATATAAAGATGATGAAGAAGATTTTCAACAAAATACAGTATTTGCGCATTCTTTTATAGGTCAGGTTCGTAATCAGAGACTTGGATGCTTCGCGGAGGAGGAATCTCCGACTTTGGCACTTTTCTGTCCAGAGGGCCAGTTCCTAAGGATCGTTTCATCCAAGTTTGGTTTAAGCCGCTTCCGCCTTTGTTTCCGTATCGTGCACGACTGTGTGGAGGAAGGGTCGTCCTTGGAAGGATGCTGCGGTCAACAGAGTTGCCAATTTACGGTGAATAGAAGATATTTACAGACATGTGGAGGGAGCAGCTCGTACTATCAAGTCCTTTATGAATGTGTTGATTGTAAGTATTTTGGTCTCTCATACGAACTAGATAAAGTAAAATTACTCTCTCAAAGTACTATCGAAATGGGGATTGCCAACGTGAGCTCGTGGAATTTCGATCAATAAAGTAACTCACGAGAGTCAAAGAAATCAAAAATTGCCATAATTCAAGTGACAGTGATAGTGATAGCGTACTCCTGTGGCTATAAATGTTTAGAGTTGCTCGTTATGCAAGATACAACTTATACTGTTATCATACAATGAACGAGATTTAGACATCATAAAAAACTACTAGTATTAGATTTGAAAGCTAGACTTTAACATCCACTTTCCAGATATCCAAGATGCAGGATGCCGGACAACGACAGTTTCAACAATTTCGTTGCCACCTACAACCTCAGTTCCTACTCGACGTTGGCCTACTACAACACCCCACCCATTTAACAAATTCCTACACACTAACCGATCAACTGTACGTGTGACCATCTCAAACGTTTCAAATACACCACGCCATCGGACAAGTATTGCCAAGATCATAGAATTTCTGAGCAATATTGTCAATAGAAATTCCACCCAGGCTACAGGGCAAAGCACTATTTTGTCAAATCTGACCACGACACCAGCGCCACCTGTAAGAGTAACCAATGTGCCGCCATTTTGGAATACATTTCTTAAAACAACTGTGACCCCACCTGATGACCACACTTTCCGAACGCTTGGAAGGACTGTATACACCGCTTACCCCATTAAAACTACCACACCATCAATTGAGTTTGCTCCGACACACTGGTCTAATGCCACTGAAATCCCCGACACACAGTCATTTGATACAGAAAGTGAAATGAAAAGTGAACAAGTTACTCTATCAGGACAACCTCTGGTATATGGTTCAACTGAACCTGGAACAAAAACAAGGGATATGTCTTTGTTAGACTTCTGGAGGAGCTTACTGTCAAGTAAAACAACAACAGTAACAACAACGGCGACAATTACAACAACCTCGCCAGCAGAGATAGATAAGCTCACGCAAGTTCATGTTAAAAATACCGAAGAGCAAATATTCACTTCGCCCAGTGTCAATACTTTTGAAACCACTTCAACTCAGGCTGTCCAAAAAGAAATATCTTCTCAATACGATATATCTGATTCAACCCAACCTACAAGAGAAAGTACCAGTGGTCTATATTCGGAATTAGCCGGTGGAAATGAGGATACGACAATAGACATGTCTACCACATCAGTAATTCTCTACAATTTGGTTGTCACTAACACCCCAGACCCAATCGATGTTTCAAAAGTGAAAGACATAGCAACGAATGGTTTAACTACCATTCCTGTCAAACCTACAACTACACATATCGCAACCACCGTCTCATCGGCAAAAGCATCTTTAACATCACCCTCTTATATTTCTTTATCTCCTCGAGCTCCATCTATAAGTACACTAACATTAAGAACAGAAACACCCACAATTACATTATCACCATCATCATCAACACCAATAACAGAAGAAACGTCCTCCATTATATCTCCTCGTGTAAGTGATCCATCATCCTCTATGTCAGAGGAAATGAACGACTCATACACAGAAAGTCCAATAACTGCATCAACACAACCTAACCAAACACAGAACAGAGTGCATCTTTCAATGAATGTCTCAAACATCTCAGATAGTTTGAATACCATTGTTGTCCGAGTAGAAAAAGGTCCAGAAATAGTGGACAATACATCTTCACAAACTCCTAAAACCAGTTCTGAAGAATACACAACAGAAAAGCAAATAGCCGATGTAATTGGAAACAATGGGGTCGGCATTACCCCTAGCGCAGATCTTGCCTTAGGTGTCACGACGGACTCATATGACGACGTTTATTTCGAAACTTCTAATGATTTACTAGAAGAGAACAATTCCGACGATTTCGAATTTGCCGATTCAGATTTAGCAAGTGATGCTGATGACTTTGGTACGAGTGTCAAGAACATACCAAATCCATGTGGTCAGATTGCAGACGATGACGAGGGGCGGTTGAAGAAACCACCAGATCATCCAGAGGCCCCTGCAGAATGCTACAATCCTGAACATGGGGAATCTACTTCCTATTCTCAAAGTAAGTAAATACTTAGTACTATATAATACATGTCGCAAAAGATAATCGTCTCTTCAGTTGATGCACTTACTGACTGTAATTTTTATTGGACATATAATAGAGTATTAATATATTCAATAAGGGAGGGCTTAGTTCGCTCGAGGGAACACTTGACGTGTTCTGGCAACGGCCGTTAAATTGTTTTACATGACGACAATGAATCATGTCATGATATAGGTACATGTAGGTACATGTAGGTTCTTATATTTAATCAATTATTTGAGAAATACGATATGCGAGATGCTATTTGTGACAGAACATCATCACATAAAGCTATACATGACATAAACATGATGGGTGACACGCCTTCTAAGTAATGCATCATGCCTTCAGAAATTGTTGGAAATGATCATGATTTGGTCAAATGAAAACTGACCTAGAATAGTGCCCGGGGTGATAGTATAATGAGCTCCAAAGACGGTTTAAGAATACAATTAATTATAACATTAAACTGAGGGCATAATATTTTGAAACAATTTGGATAGAGACGAAAATAGTTCAGTTATTTATAATTAATCATCTGCCCCATCATGAGAAATCATGGCTTCTATTAGTTCCTTTCTCGAAAATATTTCATATTAAAAGAAAAGACGTGATGAGTATCAGAATGATGATCTGCGTATGTTGATATTTTATACCTTCATTTACTTTTCATTCCAGACACATTGATTGGTATCGCTTGCGCAGAGGCATTGGTGTTCCTCGCATTGATGTTGGTCCTTATGCTCTACCTACGCAGGTTAGTATATAGCGTGTTCATCGAACAAAGTTTGAAGTTTACTTATTGGATTTCATATAATGCATACAGCTTTTTAACATACATGTACCAATAATTTCATTGAGTTTAACTTCAAAATCTAAAGTTAAATCCAAAACAATTTGAATGAATGATGAAAAATATAAGATAATGAATTTGAAATGCACCTATTCATTACCTATTTTGTTATTCAAATTTCCCAAATGCCGTTTTCAGGCGGTATCTTGCCAAGTCTGTACAGTGGGCAGAGAAGAATAAAAGGGGCTTCAGCTTTGGAGCGCTGATACGCCCTACTAAACCATTCGAAGATAGATTCGATCCAGAGAATGGATGTACAGTTCTTGACGATTGCCCTCCAATTAAGAAACACCTAGCCTCGGTTAGACCAGCGTATAATGACACCATCTTCAGATTTGAACCTGACTGGGTTGAGAATGATCCCCCTGAAGAAAGAGCCTGTGAAGCAGTTATCAAGTGCAGTACTAGCGAAGCACAACCAGTTTCGAAACCTACTAGAACAAAACCCAAAGCTCCAAAACCTCCCAGAAGAACAACATCACATGAGATTGATAAGTCCATTCTAACAGTATCTGATGAGAACAGTGGGGCTGACAGCGGTGTTACAACAGATCATGAAGAGCCCATTGGGATTGATGAGATAGAAGAGGAAGCTAATCAAACAGGTCAAAGCAAGGGACGGTTCAACAATGTGATGATGGAACTACTTCAAACAATTCCACTCAAAGATGAATACGTGGTAAGATCCAACCATAGACACCAGTTTGGTATAAGGGGACCGCCGAAAATACCAAATAATGATTCCAAAACGGAAAAACAAAGGATTCGAAAACCTCCACGATCAAGACAACATTCTGCTCCCAATAGTAATCGATCTTCACGCCAAGGCAACGTAGAATCAAAATCCTACTTGGATAACGACATTGATAATGATGAACTGTTTTACGATGACAAGACACACAAAACCATTCATAAAAGTTTTGAAGAACTAGATACAACCCGAGAACAGTTTGAAAATATAGTGAACAAGCTATTTGATAAAGTTGACGAGCCTCCTTATATCAACACTGTTATTGAAAACGGACGTGTTAAGATTCTGGGGGAAACATGTGACAAACACATAATTCCAAGTAAACAAACCCAGAACGTCAAGTTCAAAGATTCTGATCCGACCTCGACTGCAAACGGTGCATTGAAAGATATATTAGACTCTAAAAGAAGCAAAAAGGTGAAGTCATGTTTAAAATCTAATAAAAAAGACAGAAATGAACATGTTATTGATGGGTATGCACCATCTAATGTTGGTGATGAAGCACACTATTCAAAAGTGCCACAATCACATAATCTAATGTCCACACAAGAACCAAGGTTTGTCGTCAACATTTACGGATCATCAGAGAGTTTGGAAAAACAATGTCGGAGTAAAGGAGTAAAAAACAATTCAAAAATAAAAAGATCAAGAAACAGTCAGGACAAAAAAGTTCATAAAAATGTTCATATTACTGATGAAGTTTATCCAGAGAGAAATACAGAACTAATTAATCTTGCACGTGACATAAATGACTCTAAGAGAATCCTGAATAGCCAAGCTTTAACAATGTTATAACCTCATTTTCTATTCATTTATATTTGTACGACGTAAATGTATAGAATACATCATGAATTTAAAATCCATATTATACTGTATATATCTCTTTTTTATATAAGAATATATTTAACATCAAAATTAAAACTAATTAAGGAAACGCGGTTATCTAGTTCCCTGGTCCACAAGGTGCCGGGGTGGGACACTCGACGCTGTCGGGTGGTGGGGCATCTGCAAACTTAAGATCCCTTGTATATGTGTATGGTCCATCCCTGGGGTCAAGCGGGATTTCAGCAGTGTCAATTGCCCCAGAAGGACCCCTTGCAGAGAAACTAACAGGGAATTCAAAAGGCTCAATGAGACCTAGCAGACTCAAGTCAAAGTGATCAGGATTCTCCTCGCTACGATCTAAAGTGAGTTCAATCCAACTGTAGATCAGAAGAAGGTCACCATCAAACGCGTCATCGGGATCGTCTGGGTATAACGCAATGGTGACATTACCATAGGCGAAGTTGCCAAATGTCCCAGTATAGTCTTCTAGTGGACGTTCTCCTTGTCTTCGAACACGATGTTTCTTCGATCTCGCAATCTTCTTTGCTCCCGGTTTCATATTGCCAATAGCCTCAAATAATTTATTAAGATCACCATCACTTGTCAATGGAACTCCGAGTTTGCTCTTTTCTTTGATCTTCTTCTGCATTTTCTGGAGGTTCAGATTACCGAGTGATTTAATCACGGTTTGTAAGCCCATTTTAAGTCCGTAATCTTCATAGTCGTCCTCCTCTTGTTCGTCCTCAAGGGCCTGTCTTCGCATATCACCACAGGCTCGGGTGATATTCATGACCGGTTCAAGGCCAAGGAGCATGTCGTAACCAAATTGCCGAATCTGACTCATTCCACTTCCGGGGTTGTTGATGGCAGACGCGACACCTATGTTGGCGTAGGGAAGTAGTCCCATGTGGGAGGTGTACATGACAAGACTCCCACTGTGGGTAAATGACGGGTGTCCTGAAAAAGTAGGTACAACGTGTTTGCTGAGTGCTCTTTCCAACCCCAAAGATTTAACTCAAGCAAATGTAAAGGTGACCAACATTTTTAATTAGCTATAGAGTGGATAGCGGTTGTTCCTAAACTTCCATATTAAATAACGGTTGCATTTTAACGTCTTATAAATCCATTAATTGTTTTTATTTTAACCAAATGAGAAGCTATGCATCACCTCTCCACCAGCCACTGTGGAAGCCCAGACTGTACCTGTCGCTCCCGGAGTAGAACTCTCGTCTGGGAACTACACTTCCGGGGCCAATGAACCTTCTGGTTAAACTTGACGACCCCCTGTTTGGAAAAAATGGGAAACATTGTAAAAACATGACAATCTGAATTAGTGGCCACTGTCCCCTTTGTAAAGAAAGCATTGTCCACAGGCAAATTGTTTGTATTGATATACTCTAGTAAGTCTAGCAGTGTAAAATCCCACGATCATTTTGCCCTGTAGATAGTATGCGATGCCCCCATAAGAATTGCACTAACGTTGTTAAGTAATGATGCAGATGGGGATGTATCATATCATAACATATCACATTGCAGTGCTATATTTTATTGCATCACGTATAAATATAAGGTTGTCTATAGAAATCCTACCTAACATCGTCAAAAATCAGAGGATTAATGATGTCATCGAAGTCGTTTGCTCCCATTTGAAAATTCATCCACTTGCCCATGTCCTCTGCGCTGATAGCCACCCCTCCGGCCCCGGCTGCACCACGTGCTACACCGCTAAAATAAAACATCGTATACGATTTGATTATGACTATTAACATCATCTTTACTAAGTAAGAAATAAAAACAACATTCACTTATAAAAATAAAAGACAATTTGATATCGATATAACAGATTTTCATTATCAGTTGGACGAAATGTGGCATGTGGAGAAGTGGGGAAAATCACTTCGTAAACCTTAAATGCAAGTTGTTGAGATTTCTGACGGGACTTTATCAGTTTCTATTCTCTGATTTAAAAATTTATGTTTCTAAAAAAACAATCTAACATCGTTAAATTCTAGTCGGTCATGTCCTACGTTGGTGTTTTATCATTACAATATCTCCATTAAGAAACGCCCGGTATATAGTTATTATAAAAACATTCATCTTATTATTGACATCCCTCCAAATATTTATAACATTTAGCTGATAATTATAAAATGTCATGTGTATTGTATATTGCTGTGGTGAGAATTTTTACAGAAATCGTTATTAATGCTGTGCTCTATCCCGTCCCAATAAGACATTTTACACCAATTCTTAGTGTAGAAAGTGTTAGAAACAATAGAATAAAATTCAGAATTGATTTTATTCAATTGTTTTGGGAGGGGTTCTATTTGATGATTTCTCGACTTTTTGTGTTTGCGATAATAAAAAAACTAAAAAAAACTAATTAGTTCTACCGTTTTCTGGTAGGGGGGTGCACGGGGTACAATGCTATTCAGTGATTTTCATACACTTCCAAAGTGTTTGAATCAATTAGAAAAAATAATAAAAAGCTCCCTTTCCAGTTTTAGTGAGGGGGTACCATAGGGAGTGCAGTCCCACCCAACATATCACCGTCATTTCAAGAAGCCTGTATTGCCAATAAGATCATAAATCAAAATATAACAAGATCATGAATCAAAATAGGGGTGGCAATAAGTGCAATCATGTAGAACACCGGTGATAAAGGTGATTAAAAACATGGCTTACACATCAAATAAATAGTATTCTTTTACTTGTCAAATCCCGAAGAACAACATAGATGTATAATGAAGGTGAAATAATTGTAAAAACAAATAGTCTCATTTTCAATTTAACAAATAAAAACGATATATCACGCTAATTACCTTTCAAACAAACAATTTATTAGTCGGTCATCAGTTGTGAACTTCAAAAAATATCAAGATTTTATATTTTCAAATCTTTGTGGACCCCTGCTAGACTCTACATTAATGAGTAAACGGTAATGTTGACAGGTGCTCAACAGAAGGAAACGTATGTAGGAATATATGTTTTATCATTTTATCATATCAAAACAATTGGCGGATCAACGAAAAACAAGATGATGTTAAAAGAAAGTGAACTAAATGGAACAATTATTTTTAATCATTTTGAGTGCAAAATATAGTCATACAGATGATCTTATTTCCAATTAAACAGATAAAATCAATATGTCATGCTAATAATCTTCCCAAAAACCGATTCATAAGTAGATAATCCGTTGTAAACTTCAAAATTATCAAAATCTAACATTTTTTATTTTATTGTGGACCCCTGTTAAACCCCTCAATAATAAGTAAACAGTAATATTAACAGGTCCTCAACAGGTAAAAATGTATACAGGAATATATGCTTTATCATTTAAACTCATCAAAATGATTGGAGGATCAACAGGAGGAAACTGCTTAATTAACGCTTCCTTGACGCGAAAATTCCTTTATCACTACTAATGCGCAGCGAAACGCCCGTGTATTGCTCTGAAAATCTCAAGTATCAATGCGGGTTATAATGTAACAATTATACTGTAAGTTTCACTTAATCTAATGATAGCATCCCAGTGTGAATTTCTAGTTTTAATTGACGCTAAGTAAAAGCATCACCCAAATGCAGGAAGTATCGATTAAAACAAAATTTCCCAGCAATTCAGAATCCATTTCCCTAATTTTTAAATCAAACTGAATCATTGATAAAAGCAATTTCATATAAATGTAATGAAAACAAACCCCCAATGCTAATATTATATCTTCTGCTTTAACATAACCCGCTGGATGGAGAATTTAGGAATTGCACAAAATCACCACAAATGAATATAACACATTTAGGTATTATTCATATTTATATGAGTTTGCCATAGCATAGTATAGGTTAATCCGTCAGCCAGCAGTCGAATTTGCGAATGCTTCCTAAAACAAGAAGATAATTAGTGGGTACAAATTGTGTCTTCAATGGTAGGAGAATCACACTTCAACTGATAACCAAGACAAAAGTTATACACATGTTTTCAAAATCAAAAATAAACTTGACTCGATCAGCGCTACCAGTTGATCAAGGAAGCACAGGCTGGAAAATGTCAACGCTCTCTAGTAACCTCATTTGGGGTGTCTTTTGACAAATAAATTTATATAAATCACGTATTTGTCTTTCTATAATTCCCCGTCAGACCATAATCTATGTAAATGCCTAAATGGAACACTTCGAAGGTGGAACATTTCTAAGCAGAACCAAGGGCGTTAAGCAATAAGTTGATGATGCAATTAAAGAGGAGAGTACAACGACTTGAAAACCATAATTTTCAGATATATTTAAAACAAATTATTTAAATAACACACCTCAGTGCATATTTATGACAACAACTTACAAATACTAAAATATTAAAACGTTTTTGAACAGAATACATGTACAGGCGATGTCCTTGAGTATACTCACCTAAATGTCCCCATATCAAGAGGACCTAGAATGGTATCTCCTAGCAGGTTAACATGGGCCCTGGCAAATCCTTCATAATTGGTTCTGTTCCCTAGAAGAAGCGTAGACGTAGAGGTCATCCCTAATTTATCCCAAAATTCCTCCTTCAGGAGATCGTCCCATGTTTTCCCGGTTATCTTCTCACCCACGTAGGCCGCAAGTCCGTACAATATATTGTTGTAGTCCCAGTTGTTCCTTATAGGTGACGTTGGGCGGAAAAACCGTATTCGCCTGAAATTCAATCAAACGCGTTTTCAATATCTAAGATTCGAAAACTGCATTACAAGCTTAAAATATGATATAAAAAAGGTAAACATAACAACGATTGGATAACAACCACCAAAAAAAACATCAGAAATGGAATAAAAGTTAAGTCAAATGTCCAAAAGCAAGTGGCTGGACCAAAGTCAACGATTTCGGCTTCCTCTCGCTCACAATAATGTAAATAATAGGGACTGAGTAAACTCTTCCTATGACTTATTTCGCTAAATGTACTCACTGCACCATCTCTTCTCTACTGAATGTGTCTGCAGCAAGGATAATATCGTGCCCAGGGATACCATGTCTATGTGCCAACATGTCTCGCAGAGTCATCTCTCTGGTCCTGTGGATATCATTGAAGTGCACGTCTTCGCCATAGTCCTTGAGGATGTTGTAGATGGGCGTGTCCCAAGTGTAACTAAAACACAAAGATGAACACTTTAATTGCTTTTTATTTCAGTGTTTCATTTTTTGCATTTCTCGATGTGATTGGTTGTGAAAACATCACATATTTCAATATAACAAGACAGTAAGGTATAGGAAAACATTTTGTCCAAAATGATAATTTGTTTTCTCGTCTTTCCCGAAATTAACATCAAGTTGTAAAGTGGTTATTTAAACCGCTTTCTTTTAAGTTTATATCTAATCAGGGTTATCGATAACTAAAAATACATGTTGTCATAGATGCCCGATCCTTGTAATACTTTTTGTCAGTAATTTCCTTCAGCTATAAATGCCCACGAGGTCAACTTCGAGGTCAACGAGAGCTGAACTACGTATTTTCAGTACGGGTCGTAGTTGACCAGATTAAAACTGACATCATCTTACTTTGTATTTTCTATTACGTGACCAAGTATTGTTCCAGTGAAGTGTTTGCTGCAAGATGCAATGGGGAAGATGGTTTGTGGAGTAGCATCTATGTCTAAAAGATCTTCACCGTAATCCTCAGCTTTACCATAACCTATACGTTGAATGCAGTGTAGATTTTACATTTTTAATCCGATGATTATCAAATACGGGACTTTGTAAAATAAATCAAGCGACATTAACATATGTGCACAAAATTTCCGTTTCATACTTTACACAAACAATTCTCCGTGACATATACTTAATAAGACACATGAAACAATAAATATGATATCTGAATTTTCTGTTAATTAATTGAATGACCGTGAAGTCATCAAAGATGGAGGGCACAACGCAAGGATATAGATAATATAAAGCAGTAGACTATAGTTGTTACCTCTAGCAAATACAGTCTGACCCCCTCTGACCATGCTGACCATGAGGCCAGTGTAGCCGAAGCAGTCCATGGCCTCCAACATGAAGTTGTCAATACGATCTATCTCATCAGGCGTGAACGGTTGGGCTATCGTTCCATGGAAAACCAAGAAGACCATTGAGAGTACTTCCAAAATAATCTTCATTTTGAATATTCAGTATTCCGTCTTTGTCGCAGGATCTAGATGGCGTATTGGCAGAATTCTACTAGTAAACTGCAGTCTCTCGACGCCTATACCAGTGTTTCTCTTGCCCTTATTTCGACTGCCCATCTGATGTTCAAATTCGGGAGGTGTGTTGATGCAAAAAGGACGGACCATTGTTGTAGCATTATTGAATCTTTTAAGCCATTACCTTGTTATGGGATAACAGATGAATAATTTAAGTTAAAATTCCAATCAAGCTTACGAATGAAGGAGTTGCGTCCAGTGGAAAATATATAACCTGCTGGCCAAATCCGTCAAGTACCAATGCTTAAAAAGCATTGTGAATGTGGATTACTTAAAACGTACACTTCAAATGGTCCTTCTTTAACAGTCATCAACCTTGAATCTTTAATAATAGAACAATAGATAATACAAGGGCCCTTCACTAAAAAACAAACACATGTTGTACTAATTGATAAAGAGATAACATTATCATGTGATCGGGCTAGATAAACTGATCATCCACCCCATAGATAGATAGTTGGGCTAGTAAATATATGTGGGTAGCTATTCTTTATGTGAAAATAAACTTACGCATCTACAGTAACATAACATAGTAACCGTCATTTCCCTTTACCCAATTCAAGATACTCTACAGAATGTATATTGGCAGTTGTAAAGTGTCGATCAGATGAGCTCACAACATGGTCAAACCGAGTAAGGGATCGGAGTATCTTAAAATTTTGCTTTCGTCAAAAATTTATAGCAACTGCAAGTATGATGCACCTTGACAGCTAACAATTGTAAAATATATTTTTATAGAGAAAAGTCCTAAACGAATCAAATTTTAACTAATTCTTTAATTGCAGTTTGAACTTTAGGCTTTCATGGCGTTTTCAGTTAATTCATAAAAAGTTGTGAAATACAGTTTGTTGCAGAAAGTTCTATCGGAAACACACAGGGGTCATGTCAAGTTTAAAGTGATGAAGGGATCGCTTCTGGGATAGCTAAAACGATTACTTGTGTAAGCCTATTAATGAAAGGTAATAATCAAAGCAGTCGAGCAACTCTGAAATCACCTGGATTAATTATTACACCCTGATTAATTCTCGATCGGTAATATATATTGAGACTTTGAAGCCACCCTGATTAACGGTTGATCGGTAATTGTGACATTTGAAGTCACCCTGATGAATTCTCGATCGTTAAATTATTAACTGTCGATCGGTAAATGCGACTTTTAAAGTCACCATGATTAACTGTCGATTGATAATTGAAACCTTTGAAGTCAATTTCCGATCGTAAATAATAAGACCTTTGGATTCATCCTCATTAAGTGTCGATTGGTAAATACGACCTTTGGAGTCGCCTTGATTAACTGTCTATTGGTAAATACGACCTTTGGAGTCACCTTGATTAACTGTCTATTGGTAAATGCGACCTTTGGAGTCGCCTTGATTAACTGTCGATTGGCAAACGCTACCTTTGAAGTCACCTTGATTAATTGTCGATTGGTAAATGCGGCCTTTGAAGTCACCACGATTAACTGTCGATTGGCAAACGCTACCTTTGAAGTCACCATGATTAACTCTCGATAGGTAAATGCGACCTTTGAAGTCACTATTATTAACTGTCGATTGGTTAATGCGACCTTAAAAGTCACCCTGATTGGTAAATGCGACCTTTGAACTCACCTTGATTAATTGTCGATTGGAAAATGTGACTTCTGAAGTCACCATGATTAACTGTCTATTGGTAAATGCGACCTTTGAAGTCACCATGATTAACTCTCGATAGGTAAATGCGACCTTTGAATTTGAAGTCACCATTATTAACTATCTATTGGTAAATGCGACCTTTGAAGTCACCATTATTAACTGTCGATTGGTTAATGCGACCTTTGGAGTCAGCCTGATTGGTCATTGCGGCCTTGGAAGTCACTGGGATTTACCTGAAAGTAACGTGATGGGTTGAACCGCAACATTGTATCAGACCATAACCTGCTATCATTGCAATTACTACTTCATTCGGCCAGCATGTTTTGTACTAACTTTCCCATTAGATAGATCATCAAAGTTTAATCAGATAAAAGCTGTCTCAGTGTGTATGCTAAACCTGTATTTGATAATGGTATAGCTTCATTTCTAAAAATGATAGCAATGCACTTTTAAATGAAATTATCTGTGAAAGTGATAAAACTAGTATAGTATGTCACCGCACTGCATTGGATACCTCAACACAATTCCTAATAAATATTGTACTTATCTTTAAAATATCTGTCTCTTTATGGAACAACGAGGTTATAATGTTTCAACAATATATCCAATAGAAAAGAATTTCGTCGACGTCACCTCTAAAATGGAACAAAGCGTTATTTCAAAATGACGTAGTTTCTTTTAAATTGAAAACTTCATGTGCGTCGTATGCATAATTTAATGTTTTCAACAGAAGGTCAAGTCACGCGTTTTTAAGAATAATTTTTCAACTGTACGCACATCATAAGTTCGCCTTTTAACACAAATGGGACTAGTGTTCACACCTAACCATCGACAACGTACACTGACAAAATATACCGCCGTACACTAGATGTACTGTGTCACTATTAACTGATTTGAAACAATAACTATAATGTAGGTTTTATGTAGCTTGTTGTTACCGCATTGCTTTGTTTCGTGACGCTCGAATCGTGTCGTAGGCTATCATTCCCCAATCTGATTAAACATGACAATTGTCGTGGATATAAAAGCGCAGCGTATTCTACAAAGCTAGACATTGTCTTCTGAAAGACAGGATACCTCGCGTGTTGGAGAACAACGCAGCATCACACAATATCATGAACATACTAAAACTGACACTTATACTCGCGTACTTCAACACAGTTCAGACATATCTATTGGGATCCTTACTGGACAATGATTTGATAAGAGACGAAAGTGACAATCTGGACGACATGGATCATTTAATATTAGAAGACAAAAATAAAGTTAACCAAAAAAGAACTTATAGCTCAGATATTTTAGTAGTTTCTAGACAAAGTTCAGGTAAGTTTTGTTGTTTTGTCATGTGCCAGAGTCAGAAAGATTTCAGAAGTCTTCCAAATAACTTGTCTTGTCTAGTTTAAGAATCACTTTTGCAATATACACGTGGAAAGTTCAGTAGTTCCTTTAGCTTGCAAGTAGCGCACTCATCCGCATAGTGAGGGGTTGCGGGTTCAATTCCCTCTGGAGAGGGCTTACTTTTTCAGATCAGCCCTTACCCCATATCACACCAAACTTGTTCTCAACGTTCTTACCAGTCCTAAAAACGTAACGCGGGCTAAATCTAGCTGTGGTCGGGAAATCTGTCTAAAATGATTAGTTTCTTCGTTCACAGTCTTTAACACGTGCATCTCATTCGCAGTTCGTTCAGGTCGCATCATGTCGGTGTGTATACGTAGACACATATCCGATTGCACAATGTTTTAAGGCGTTCCTCGTTCTTATTACAGAACGGTATGGTCGCTATCGAATTTTAAATAATTCAAAATCCTAAATCACCTTTCCGTCCGAGCACGTCCATGAAGTTCGTAAGTAGACCATAGAAAGTTGCAGCTACGTTCATTCCGTTCGCCCACAGTCGTTCATAAGCAGTCTTTATAAGTCCTTGATCAGTGCTTGAGTTCTTGAGGACTTACCCGTTCGAGTACGTCCATGAAATTTATAAATATACCCCAAACGGTTCTAAGTGTGTCCAGGTCCAATTCGTTCGTACACAGTTAAAGCCCGTTTTCGAGAACGAAGTGTGAATAAGGGACGGTTCTATGTCTCTATGCCGTAAATGGGAAAATGAGTTGGGGGATGAAACATGCAATATTAGATAGGGATGTTGTTGTGAAGACTACTCTGGAATCTCAAAATCAAAATGACACGCCCCAATCGGCCCTAGTTCAGGCATGGCCTAAACCTCAACCACGAATGATTGTAAACTAAATGAAAATATATGAACTCGGTTACAGAAGCAGTGCATGACCTATATATAAAGAGCACAAAAATATTTCAGTACTAAAATTCATGATATAAGCATTTTAGCTTTATTTCCGTGTCATGAGTTCTTTCTCTCGTTGTTTCAGTATGTCCACAATCGGAAGACGGACGTTTTCAGTTTATCTGTCCATCTTCACGCCATTCTGGCACAACTCGTTGTGTAGACGACCACCAAATATGTAACGGTAGGAGAGACTGCCCAAATCATGAAGACGAGAATCCAACAATGTGCCTTTTCTACCAAGTGGTAAGTTCTTACTTCCCAATAGGCGTGAGTGGAAAAATCTTCAAAATCTCCCAAAATTACCCTTTGCATTCGTTTGACTTCACTTCTTAAAAGAGAGCTTCGTCTTCACTCTTTCAAACTAAAATAAACCTGTGAACTCACCGCGCCAATCAGTGTTCGTCGGCCAAATTTGACCGACGTTCTATATATGGTCATTCCTTCTGACGTCATCGTTGAGCCCGGAATTGACCAATGACATGCGCATATTTAATTAGAACGCATTTGGCGTATGTTTGTTCAGGCTCGCTGAATGGTGGAAGAAAGGTCAGCGCATAGGTCAGAAGTGATTTATATTATTACCCAAACTGTCACCGGTACCCGTCGTGGGGGCGGGGCTACTAAACTGTAATATGGTCTCTACTAGGCAGAGTGTAGTTTAACTAGACTCTGCACGCAGGGTATCCCAAAATCTACTTATAGCTTACACTGATTATAATCAACTCGAGGATAAATGTTTTGTAGAGCACAAAATCTGCCTTACACACAATTACAGGATGGTCCAAAAAAGTGAACCCTTGCAACCGGCTATATTTCCCTTATTACCTGCAGGAATCCTTTCGTAGTTTCACATGTCGTAGAGGAAGGTCTAAAATTTTTGTTGGTACTATACATTTTTCTTAGTATTGAAATTTGCAGAAATTATAAGCCCTAACGAAACATCACTGAAAATGGGTAAAATGTGAACTTCAATATCTGCGATTCTTCAACACTTCAACAATCTTCCCATGGAAATCTTTTAAGCCGGAGTCTGGGTCACCTAATGTTTTCTGACTTTGTTTGGTTTTGAATCCCACACAATATGATGTAAAAATTAGCATCCTACCTCTGTTAGTTGCAAAGTTATTGTGATCAAAAGAAATGTTCAATGTTTCCAAAGACGAGAACATCTTCTAGTGAAATCGCAACATAACCCTATATGGTCTTAAAATGTCAATATATTCATTAATCATGGACCAATTCTAATGAAATATGGCTCAAAACACTGAATATTAGATTTCCTTTTGATTTTTGTAAGATTTTAAATAAAGGGCTTCTCAGATTTCGGGTCACAAGGGTTAACTTTGCCCCCCTCTGCCTCTAAACTGTTGAATGGTTAAAACAGCTTCAAAATGGTCAATAAAAGTGTGAAATGTGTTTTCTGCTTCAATAGTGTCCCATTTGTCACATGGTAGGGTTTAAACTTATAATCTCTCACTGAAAGCTTTTTTAAGATCATCCTATGTGTATCAACATTACAATTTCCGTCGATCACATTGGTAAAATTTTGCACAAAATAGATCTAATTTGAGGCATGTTTGTTTAAGTCTTGTAATTTCTTCGAAATTCAAAACTGAGAATAACTTATGGTGTCAACAAAGATTTTAGACCTTTCTCTACAAGATGTGATAATATGAGCAAATTTATGCATGTATTAAGGAACATATAGCCTGTTGCAAGGATTCACTTTTTTGGACCACCCTGTATTTAACTGAGCGCGGGACGGAGTTTTAAAAGTAAAGCAATTGTAAAATTGTTCGATTTTATATCGATAATAAGCCTGATTATTCTAATATGGAAGAATTGAAAAGTTATACAACTAAAATAAAGAAATCGGTTTAAATTGTCACGTAATACAGTAAAATAATCACTTCTTAAAAGATTATCATAAATCATAAACTTTATCACAAAATTAAATTAAATAATGAGAATAACAAATTAAATAATGAAAGAACAATTTAGGTATTCGACTAATTTCCGGTTTAACGGTCGTGATTAGGGATAACAAGGCAATCTGACTTCTTCATAAAACAATCAAGTTGCTTAAAAAGGGACAAATAATTCCCGGGGAATGGGAATGGATAATTTCTCAAAGTCCTAAAACAGGATCCTACTTCTTATTCGTAATTGGATACTTCAGAGAATTAATTCAGAAAACTTTCAATCAATAGATTTAAAGTTTAATGGGTAGTTGTTAGATTTAAGAAACGAGTTCTTATATGTTAGCTTTTTATCAATACTGCCAAATTCTTTTCACATAAAGCAAAATGAAAGATTTTAAGGAATATCATTATGAGAATTAAAACGAACTACCTGAAACCTTTATGCAAGCTGAACTTACTTGGTCATATATAATTTTGAAATACACAAATTATTCGTCAACGTTTCCCTTATTAAAATGTTTATGTTGTATAATAGAAAATAGCTTTATTGCTTTCTAATTTGACAGCAGTATTAGTAAAACAAGCTGTGTGGATGTGAATTAAACATCGAAACTCCCAATATTATATTTCAAATAGCAAGTACGTCTCGCAACTTAAGTTTCATATCCCAATTGCGAGTGGGTGGTTTTGATGGCACGACCCCACGCCCAAATCTGAAATAGATCCCAAGTATACCTCAGTGTCTCATTTATTCTTGGACCTAAATGCATGTCCTCCTTGGATGTGTTACGCGTATTACTTACATGCAGTCACACGTCTAACGTGATGAATTTTCATTTGTATTAATTCAATTGAATGGGTGGCTGATTGCATGATTATGACCTGATTGTTAAGTACCTATTTGTTTTAAGTTGTTATTTGTCTATTGATTCACAACAAGCAGATCTAGGGAGTATCACAAATAGATATAGAAAGTCATCTCGGTTGATTCTATTTTAGATGCATAATTTTAGGACAATGCACCTTTCTCAGTTCCGGTAAGCCGATTGGGACCATGTTGTATACTTGAAATTAGTCGATTAACGTATCCAACCGTCTACCTGGATGGTGTACAAGAGGGGTATAATTAAGCTTGATTCTTATGTTAAAATGACGATCCTCAAATCTATTTTATTCCGGCATCGAGTTCAGTTTTGGAAACGTTTGTGAAAATGAATTAAACTGTATTTTGGCAATATAACAATTTGCAATCATTCTGAATTTCAGGTCCAGTCTCAAATAAAGATGGTAACAAATGTTATGTTGGCGAGAGGGAAGTGATACCAAATCCTATGCTTGATAGGTGTCGCTGCGGTACAACATCATGGACAAGAAAGTAGCTATCATCCGGTTACGTGCCAGGACTCGGGATATAGTAGCTAATCTTGAAATATATAAAAATCAATGAACTCCTTTAACTTCTCTCACTTCTACCAAAAATAAAATGAGAACTGGATAATCAAAAATAGATAATTCAAAGGAAGACAAGTGGCGATCAAGAATTTACAAACATATGACTTATAACCCCTTTTACATTTAGAATATGATGTCAAGGTGTACAAACGTACTCTTTGCCGCCATTTCAATATTTTTCGAAAGAGCATATAAAAGTCATGGATTATTGTGAGTGAAAAATGTCTACGATTTCTATTAAGCCTAGTATTTTCTGTAAATTATGGCGATCCAATTGCCGCCTGCTTGACAGTTTGATGTCTGACGTCTGCCAATACATGTAAGAAGTTAAGATATGATTTAAGATCATGTAGTTGATGTGGCCACCTGACCTATGTTATGCTGACCTGATCTGTTACTTTATCTCGGTTGCAAATAAATTATCATAACACTATTTTCAATTGTGGGCTTTTGTTTTGAAAATTTTGAATCATTTTATATCTTGAGATCACCATGGTAAGGCGGACACTCTTAAATTCCAAGTAAGGAGCCTCTGTCGCGTAGATATGGACTTTGAGTCTGATTATATAGCCAGTAGCCCCTCGGGGGTAGCCCCCACCCCACCTTGGCCAAAATTCTTTCAAAATCAGTTTTCACCATTCTGAGCATTTTTCAAATGCTGTCAAATGCGAACCCCCTGGAATTTTTTGGAATAGTGACCACCCCACCCCTTGGTTGGCTATGGGCCTTGATTATAATATACAGTTTTAGATGAAGGATAAATCAAGTCGGCATTCCTTTCATTAGGCAGACACGTGCAAATTGTTGTGTTTATATATTATGCCTTTATATCAGCGGTACACTGATGAATCTACAGTCAGTTATATGTACATCCATGTTAAAAAATCTAAACGTTTAGATGGCCGAGTATAAAAATCTTTGTTAAAATGTTGAACAAGTTTACCAATAAAATTTATCATGCCTACGTATACGTTGTATAAAAACATCATCTCCGAGTCGAAATGTGAACAAGCTATTTACAGTTTTATGATTTAGAATTATATTTTAGACTTCTATCTGTATATTATGAATATATTTACATTTTGAAGACATTTTGAAATTAACAGTATTGATTTTCGGAATGATCTTTTGTTACCGATACTATCAACAGTATTCTACGATTTTCCTGGTGAATTAGACAATTGTTCGTGAGTTTCCGCAACAATTTCAAAGTCATTCATATCCATTTTTGTGAGTTTACGTCCCAGACGGTTCTATTTGCAGATCTAGGTTATATTGGGAATTATCACGTGAAACATCCTGAAGAGCTAAGCAGTCCCTGTCTGTCCATTAGCCATAACCTTTGTGTCCGAATCCTCAACGGTTGCGTTAATAGTTTGTTCGGATTGTGCAAAGATGTCTTTAGATCTATTCCCTTTCGACCGCGATTGGTTTTGGGTTATTCCTTATATAGTCACATTCAGCAGCAAGCTGGGATAACGAACAGGGTCCGCATACAATAATATAAGCACAGTCTGAAGCAGTGTCTCCTCGGATGCTTTGCATATGTCGAATCTTAGCTCTGTTCTCAGAGAGAAAGTACAAATTTACGAGTGGAATGAAAATCCCGACGCAAGTTAGGATGAAATTGTCCCCAACCGCCTCTGCGTTCCTCCCTGCCTGGATACAGGGAAGGAAGAATGAGATGACGCATACGCCCATATTCCCGAAACAGCCAAGTATCCCCTGTTGGAAAGCTGGTTCCATTATCTCCTTTGCTCCTGGCATTGGTCGGCCCATATTGCTGTTTTTTATATTCCCGCTACAGTTACGAAAATGTCCTTCGACTTAAAATTCGTCTTAAAAACTGCTGTTGCAACTTCACTGTTGTTATGTGGTAAATATTTCTATGGATCGCGGAGATTAATAGTCCATTCAGTTCTTCGGAAGTTATATAACTATCGATTTGTACTTTTCTAAATTCAACCAATCTCGACCCAGTGTTTTTATGGGTTTAGTCGCTTATAACAATGGTCTCCAGGCAGCCAGGGAGATATAGGTTTAAAGACTTAAGTCGTTAAGGAATATAGCTGGTTACACTTATATACATATATAGTAAGTAAGTAAGAGATGCAGTTTAATGGGCCATAAATATGCGTCGATTTTTAATTAACACGAATGAAGTACCAGCTTTCGTTTTGATGTGAGAGGGTCCAGTGTTCCAAGCTTTGGAAATCTTTAACAACGTTTTCTTTCAATGCCCAAGAAAATGTCATAACTGCGGAACTGCCTTGATCACTCTCTGACCTGATTTTTACCTTCTTTTACAACTACTCTCTGACAAAATTAATATTCTAATGATATGAACAAGCAATTTAAACAACAACAATTTTAATATCTGAGTTCGATTATAGGAGTTATTGATTGAAGATTTAAGTTTCAGAAATATCAAAATTCGACAAAATTGAAAAATGGAGACGTTCAATTAACAGGAATATGTCCACTAAATTAATCTTAGAAATGTGATAAAAATTATCTTTAAAAATGGATCATGTGAAGGTTAAATAGCTCATTTCTGAGATATCAAATTGAAATACATTCTCCCAAATATAACCTCCTGTCCTCCTTAAGTCTGTGATGTGACTTAATATAAGGAGAACTTGAACGGAGGCCAACAGGCCAGCCCCAAGTTGCATTTTCACGAATCTAATATTTTCGAGTTTCTTTTGAAATCACTGACGTATTGAACATTTTTAAGACAAATAATAGTTTTGTGATTTTTGTGTTTTTTTATCTTGCCCGTTTCTTAGGCTAGCTGATGCTCCAATTCTCAGTAGATAAGGGTTTCATGGTCCATAGAGTTGAAAAATGGGACTAAAACAAACGGAATTAACGTCCATAAACGCACGCGTTACATTGGAAGTTATTTCTACTGGTACATACATGTTTTACAACAAAATGATGTTATTCGAGAAACTTTAGCAGCCCTCTCAAAAATGACAAAACACAAAGTTATTATCCAAAGCCGTACAATTCTTCGACGGGCAGTTTCTATGGGGTATACGAATTAAAATCAATAAGAACTGTAACATAACCCAGAGTCTTGAGCAAATAAAATGTTTGACCAGGAAATCGAAGAGCAGGACAAAGAATTTTGGCTCAGCTCCACTAGTACTGTAGATTTGTAAACACACAATTCAACAATAGCTTAATACCAATGGGATTATCAGATGAGAACCGTTGAATTTATAGGTGCAAGTACTTTCTAAAGATTCAATACTGGAGGTTTCCAAAACAAGTTTGTGGCGAGAGATTCGGGTTTTCCGAACATATCTTTAATCTAATGTTTAATGTGTTGCTTCACTTTGGGACAAGAATAATAGGGAGTCATACACTACATACAATAAAAATCAAGAAGATATTAATATTTTAGTGTTATGTTTATTTATGTATAAAAAACTAAACAAGTATTTATTAACAAAATATATTCCATGTACAGAGTGGTCCAAAAAAGTGAATCCCTGCAACGGGCTATATTTTCCTTAATACATGCATGAATTGGCTCATATTATCACATCTTGTAAAAGGTCTAAAATTTTTGTTGATAGCATAATTTATTCTCAGTCTTGAATTTTGAAGAAATTACAAGACTTAAACAAACATGCCTAAAATTAGGCAAAATTTTACCAATGTGATTCACGGAAATTGTTGGAACACAATGGATGATATTAAAAAAACCTTACAGTGATAGGTATAAGTTTAAACCATATCATATGACAAATGGGACACTATTTGGGCAGAAAACACATTTCACACTTTTATTGACCATTTTGAAGCAGTTTTAACGATTCAACAGTCAAGGGACATGTTACCTACACAAACGGTTAGAGGGGGGCAAAGTTAACCCCTGTGACCCAAAATATGAGAAGCCCTTCATATAAAGGTCTAACAAAAATCAAAAGTTAATCTAATACTTAGTGTTTTGAGCCATATTTAATTAGTATTGGTTCATGATTAATGAAGATATTGACATTTTAAGACCATATAAGGGTATGTTGCGATTTCACTAGTTCTAAGATGTTTTTGTCTTTTGAAACTTAGACCATTTCTTTGGATCACAATAACTTTGCAACTAACATGTATAACATGAAAAAATCGTATTGTCCCCGTGAAAAAATCGTATTGGAGCGTATTACATTAAAAAATCGTATTGTCCCTGGGAAAAATCGTATTGGAACGTATTAACCTATTTTTGGTTTCCCCGTTATTTTTTAACCTTGGCTAATTGATAAAATCATTATCCAAATGTAACATTTTAGAGGAATGTATTATGGAATAAATAAGTTATTTCTGGTCGGGATTGAATATGGGTTTTATTCCTCCGAAAATATGATATTGACCTTGAGCAATATGATATTGACACTCTGTCGCTGTGCTCCCTCGGTCAATATCATATTACCCTTTGGTCAATATTATATTGTCCCTCGGAATAAAACCTATATTCAATCCCTCCCAGTAAATAACATATATAGAGATTATCCTATATGAGGTTCAGGATATTGGGATCATCCCGAGGCCAATACAATATATCTGCCCGAGGGCCGTAGGTCCCGAGGGTAGATATATTATATTGGCCAAGGGATAATCCAAATATCCTGAACCGACTATAGGATGATCTGTTTATCCCATACCAATCACATTGTTCAATTGTTCAACCAACTGTGGAATTATTTAAAATATTCATGTCCAGTTTTGTATTCTTGCAATTGCTGAATTGTCTGTAGCCGGGTATTCCTTTTCAAATCTTTGATTATTAACGGGGCATACTGCTCCTTCCCTTTAGAGCATCAAACAGATCGCGATTGTCTGCGTTTTTCTCCATTGTCGTTTACAGTATGCGAACGTTACAAAAAAGAACCAATACGGGAACAGCGATTATGACGTAGCGGGCAGATATACTATATCTGCCCGCTCGGAGCGGGAAATAAAGCTATATCTGCCCGCTGATGAAAATATTAGTTTTTACAAACCGGCTTTATGTACCCGTAACACGTCCAAGTATGGGATAAATGTATATACTATATACATAATCTCAGAGGTACCATATATGGCAATTTTCAAAAATTTGTCAGTATTATAGTGCTTTTTGCCCAAGTATTGAATGAGTCAACTGTGATATCTTGTTTAACACGAATGTCCACATTTAACCCTTGGATCCTCGCATAGACCTGCATTCACTTTATGAGTTTTCATGAATCATATTATACAGACGCTGCTTTAATCAAGTCACAAAACTGACAGTTGAAGTACTTTAGATGAAACACTGTATAGGACCTCTTACTCTTGCAAAACTATATTTGACAACAGCTCCAATAATTGCCCTACCGGACCAGTGTTAAATTGACATGAGTAACATAAACGTACTTGTTTGATCTGTGACATGGTAACGCCACATTAACCAATTTAATACATGATTCTTTACATAAAGAGACAAAACTAAAAATCTTGTTCAAACATCTTTCGTAATACAATGAATACCTATTTACATGTCTTAGTGACACTAAACCTGATATTGTGAGAACACATAGTCCTATATAAATTAAAAAATAATAAAAGTGGAAGGATTATTGAACTGAATGTAATGTTAATGCTTAATACATCAGGTAATCCTAAGATAAATCAATTCATTGTCTCAAGGGCCCTGCAGATCTTGGTCTGGGTGATGCGCTGCGATTGGTTGAATCTCCTGGGCCGATCTTCTCTACAGCTGGTGGAAGCTTGCGTTTGATTGGTCCACGCTGGACTTGGCGTGCCCGCTGACTGAATCCAAGACACTGTAATGACTCGGTGAGGTAGCGTTTTGCTGGAGACACGCAGGCCACCACTAACAACTTTGCATCACCTCCTGGTATGAACAATAGCAATGTTAATGAAATACACATTACTGAATACAATGAAAAAAATTAAAAACAATGACAATTAAATTCAAAGACAAAGATGTGCCCACATGAACACAAATTTTCAAAATGTACAAAAAACTAACGAGTTGTTACAAAGGCTATGAGTTATATGACTTTTAAAAGAGCTGTTACATATGAGGGTATCCATGACCTTTTAAGGAGCTGTTATACATGAGGGTATCCATGACTCTTTAAGGAGCTGTTATACATGAGGGTATCCATGACCCTGTGAGCAAATTATATGAGACTCAATTTTACCTATGGAGTCCTGTAAGAGATGTGTCACTCTGCTGTTTCTATATGGGACATGTGATCTGTGCTCAGCCAGGGCTCCTAAAACATCAGCTAGGGCTGAGAGACTTTTATTGATGTTTGAAGTCTCACGTAGTCTGTCCCCTGTAGCGCCGGACATACCTATAATCATACAAAATGAATGTAAACACCTCTCAATGTAAACACCTCTTATTGTAAACACCTCTCAATGTAAACACCTCTTATTGTAAACGCCTCTCAATGTAAACACCTCATATTGTAAACACTTCCTGGAATGTCTCATTACATTGCTTTTTATGCTTCCAGAATCTTTTCATACATTCACATGTCTATTATTTAAGAGCATCTTTGGGACCTCAAAACAAGTACCTGAAGACAATTATCTCTTAGTTTTAAGAAGCCCATGCGACTCATACTTTTGTGTACCTAAACAAAAGTGTGTTATTTTGATAGGATAAGTAAATACATTCAGGAGCAACTTGAAAACTTATGTCAATAAATGAAGAAGTGAACAAGAGGTCTAATCCTTTTGCTTAAGTGTGTCCACAATAAATCGCTTTTCTGTGAGTATCTAAAATAAGCAAATAAATATCATAGTAGTTTCTATCAGAAGCAATTTTCTTACCAACACATTCACTTCCTGCCAGATCAACCAATTGGAGCTTAGTTTTTATGGCTCCAGAAAGTGTGGGGGTCATCGATCTTATTGGGGATGGAGAACGTGACCTTATAGAGAAAGATGGCGGAGGAGGCTGGGGCGGCAATTGTCTACGCTGCTTGTCTTTAGTGGGAGTACTTGGAACTACAAAACATATTAAATAAATTGTAATTATATCTCATATTATTGGTTTGATTTAAGGATTTATTAAATAAACAATAAATTAAATCATACTATACATTTTATCATACAATATTGGGAAGTTGAGAACAGGAAACCTTTGCCATGTACGTAACAATTATATCAAATGAATATTTTCCAATTGAAAATAGAAAATAATGTGAATATCAAACTTGAAAGAAACTTGATCATTATGAACAAATTGAAGATGGTCATTAAAAGTCATCCTCCGAACACAGGCCTTGTACCTCCTTCTTCTAAAAGAAGGAAGGAACTTAGTGGATGACGTCTAGAACCCTGCATTCGGAGGATGTTAAAAGTAAAAATTGGTCATGCACAGGGTCCTCTCTTAGTACAATACTTCACATTGTAAAGATGGCAGGTAAATACAAGACAACAATTGGCAATGCCATCTATACATTAGAAAAGGACTAATACAAGGATGCTTAAGTGCAACCATGGTCTTTTGAGAAATTAAAAAAGAAATCATGCAAATAACGAGCTGGTTAAACAACAATGATATTTACATAAGGGTACACACCTTACCCATAAAGATATTAAACATATTTTTAAATGAACACTGTATTGTATATTGAACTACTGTATGTGATAGACAATTAGATAGTGGGGACAACTCTATACACTATGTGTAAAATGACAGTTGCTGACACCTGGTGAGGTAAAATGGCTTCTCAGTCAACAATGAACTAATACACTAAGTATACAATATATATAAAATCTACCGAAAGTTTACAATCTGTTTGTTGCTAGTCCGTTGATTCTACAGAAGTAGACTAAAAAACTCTTATTGAGCAATCAAATTAGGGTATTTTGATTGGGGTACTAACAAAATGTGATGTGATGTCATAGAGGTCAGTGATGTCACAAATGATTCCACACAGTATATCACCCAGAATACCTGGAATAAAACTGGGGTTACTGTCAAACAGAGCAGGTGTACTTCGACGTCTCACATCCACTCCAGGGAGTTTTAGCCTTGTGGGTAAGGATTGAGTTGAGGATGAAGTCAATGCTAAATATATTAAACACAAATGACAGAAAACATATACTTCCTCATGAATTCCTGGCTTTAACTTTGGAACTGGTCATTTTACCATTTAATTTTATATGCATGTACTTTGGAAGGTATTTGACTAAATATACATTCATTGTACGACTAAATATACATTCATTGTACAGGAGACTTATGATCACTGCATATTTCTCACCATAACATTCACCCATGCAGTCTAAGCTCCTGACAAAGACCATGCAGCCAGTGCAAGGCTTAATTTAAGAACATGCTTAATACATGCTAAAATAGACATTTGAAATACTAATTCCAACAGCCACCTCTTTGATTAACATTATAAAGATGACTTTTAAGTTGCTGGTTTTTGGTTTGCATCAATAGTCTCCTCTCGTAAACTGTATGAAATAGCGATTATTATTAAGCATAGATGCACACAGCTTTGACATAGCATAGACATTTAAAGAACTGGAACATGCACCTACGAAGACTGCACACTATAGTTATTACTGCAATAGAAAAATCCAAGTAATATGCCAAGCTATCCATGCAGCAATGCACAAATAATAGCATGTGCCATCATCCTACAATGACATTAATAACACTGACATCATTTAGCAGATACATCTACTATTGTGATGCCATCGTTGCTTTGGCCAGGTCCCTTTTACTTTTGTTTGTAATATCAAACACAATGCTGCAAGCTAGAAGGCCACAATAGATCGCATGATTTGTCTTTACCAGCTGGTAATTTCCCAGGAGCGCTGCCCCTTCTTGCCAGTCTGCTGAGAGAAGTGTGAGAGTTCAGCACACCTTCAATTGAAAAATGAGAAAAAACGAATATAAAAGAAACTCATCTATGCACTTAAGTACCCAGACAAAGCTGCAATGCAGTATAATCATACATGTAAAGGACAAACAGTATACATGTACTATTTTCTGTGTTCGTAAATATAATTGAAGCAGTAAGTTAAAAACAAAAAAATATATCTCAGTTTCTTTGAAAATAAATCATATGCATTTTTTGATAATGTGACCATCAAGTGATTTTCAATAAAGCTTTGCTTATTCCAATCCTATTGAGTTGGAAGAATACTTTTAAATAAAACAAAAAAACTCTAAGCCTACCTGCGAATGTTGGATCAATAGGTGATCTGGCAGAAGATGGCGCTGGAGATTCTGCCCCTGATGATCCTACTGGGTTTAAGTAATTGGCCTGAGTTGTCAAGGTCAACGTGACGATGAGATGCGATCTACTAGAGTGCTCATGTACAAGGGTGGGTGATTCGCTACGCATCTGGAGTCCATGTTGAACTGAACACATGACGTCATAGACTGTCTCAACTGGCCTGTAAAGTTGAAAACAATAGACATCACACACTGTTTCAAGTGGACTCTTAATAGGAACACAAGACACATTGGCCTGTAAAGTTCAACACATGACATCATGGACTACTGTCTCAAATGGGCTGTAAATATAAACACATTTATTATTATTATTAATGTTTTTATTATTCTTAAATCATAGTAATTTACAAAGTACAAGTAAGCAAGACCAATCGCCATTTGGCATTACAGGTCGCTTTAACATAAATATAGTTTAGAAGCAAGTAATAATAAAACAAAAAAATGCATAAAACTATTGAAAAGTTTTGTTGTTAATTGCTTATTTGCTTAGTTGTTGGGGATATTTTGGTCCAGGAGGTTTGGGCAAGTTTTAGATTCTCAATGGGTGAATGTAACATGATCTAACAAAGTTGAGCACAATGCTAAGAAGTAAGTTTTGTGAATCACGGCTAAGGGTATTTTCATAAAGGAGATATTTGACTTGATCATTTCGGTTGGTATAGATGTTCTCATCATAGAGAAGGTTGTTTTGTCTAAGTGCAGTAATCATGTTTGTCCTATCATCAGTATGGCGGGGGCAAAAAAGGAGAAAGTGCTTAGTATTTTCAGGGGATCCACATGGACACTTGTTGTCGGTTACACCAATAAAATTATGAGAGAAAAAGTGTTCTTTTAAAAAGAAATCAACACGAAGTCTGTTTAAAATCTTCTCATTTGACCTTGTTAAGTTTAGCTTGGTTGTTGGAATGAAATTTATGTTTGGGAGAATTGTTGACCGAACAGCATTTTTAAAACTAGAGATGGTTGGTAATTCTCTTATAAGTTGGCTAAGGTTGTTCCATTGTTTTATAATATTTAAGACAGGGGCTTTAAGGAGTCTGATAGAAACATTAGTTGGAATATTGTAAGGCATAGAATGTCTCAGTAGTCTGGTGGCTGGGTTTTTATATTTGTCAAATATGTCGCATATATATTGTGCTACATTTCTTTTGTTTATTTTGAACATTATCCGAACATTTTTTTCATTTCTCCTTTGACTAAGGGTTTTCCAGTTAAGACATTGAAAAACTTTGGAGGTATCTGAGCCATGAAGAACACCTGCACATATTACACCTGCTTGATAGTGCAATTTGTCAAGTTTTGCTAATAGGGCTAATGAGGCAGACCCATGCAAGGCACTGCAGTAGTCAAAATTTGATGCTACATAGGAGCAATACATTGTTTCAAGGTGTTTGGATCTTACACTATTTGACAGATACTTGAGTGGATTAAGCAGTTTTTGAACTTTCCGTGAAAGATAGTTTATATGGTCTTCATAAGTCAAATTTTCATCAAGGATAAATCCAAGATGTTTGTGTGAAGTTTTACATGGAATGACTTCTCCGTCAAAATAAAGTGGCGTTTTTTGGAAGTTTTTGATCCGGTTTGAGTGGAATATGACTTGGGCACTTTTGGAAGGTTTGAATTTAAGGAACCATTTCTTTGACCACAGATTAATTTTATTAAGATCATTTTGAATCTGATCTGTTTGAGCATTTGATGGATGAAAAAATGAATATAGAGATGTATCATCAGCATATATGTATGTATGTATGTATGTATGTATGCTTCAGAGTCTAAGTTGTCTGGGAGGTCATTTATATAGATGAGGAACATGAGGGGGCCTATTACTGAGCCTTGAGGAACACCAGAGTTTATGAAGTTGTTGTCTGAGAATTTAGAATCTTGGTCATTGATTGATACACAAACTTTTCTATTCCTCAGGTAAGAATCACAAAGATCAATTGTCTTGCCGTTAATTCCATAGGATTTCATTTTGTGTATTAAGAGCAAATGCGGGACGGTATCAAACGCAGCCGAAATGTCGAGATATACCGAGTTAATACAGTTTCCTTGTTCCATTTGATGATAAATATAGTCAGTAATTGGTAAAAGTTGAAGTTCTGTGTTGTGGCAAGGGAGAAAACCTGACTGAAACTTGTATAAGAGGTCATTATCCATAAGGTGTTTCAAGATTCTAGCATGGAGTACCTTTTCAAAAATTTTGGAGAAAGTATAAACACATGACACCGTAGACTGTCTCAAATGACCTGTAAATATGAACATGTGACATCATAGACTGTCTCAATTGACCTGTAAATATGAACACATGACATCATAGACTGTCTCAACTGGCTTGTAAAGTTGAACACAATAGACATCACACACTGTTTCAAGTCTTAATAGGAACACAAGACACATTGGCCTGTAAAGTTCAACACATGACATCATGGACTACTGTCTCACATGGCCCGTAAATATGAACATGTACACCTGACATCATAGACTGTCTCTAATTGCCTGTTAATATGAACACATGACATCATACTGTCTCAAATGACCTGTAAATATGAACACATGACATCATAGACTGTCTCAAATGGTCTGTAAATAAATATGAACACATGACATCATAGACTGTCTCAAATGACCTGTAACTGTAAATATGAACACGTGACATCATAGACCGTCTCAAATGGCCAGTAAATATGAACACATGACATCATAGACTGTCTCCAATGGCCTGTAAATATGAACACATGACATCACAGACTGTGTCCAATGGCCTGTAAGTATGAACACGTGTCATCATAGACTGTCTCAAATGACCTGTAAATATGAACACCTGACATCATAGACCGTCTCTAATGGCCTGTAAATATGAACACATGACATCATAGACCGTCTCCAATGGCCTGTAAATATGAACAAATGACATAGACTATTTGAAGTGGACTATTAATGTGAACATCACATAATGTTTCAAGTGAACTGGTCATTTGTACATATGACAGAATAGAATGTTTCAACTAGACTGTAAAGTTGAACACGTCATGTCTGAAAAGTTTTGTCTCCAGAAAAACATAATGGTATGATAATACCAAAGTACATGAAATGTTGAAAAACAAAAAAGTTAAAGAGAAAACTGAGACAGAAGTTGACCTACTTGCAAGAGACTGTTGGGACATAGAGAGATCCATCACTGGCTGTCACTACATCATGTTTGGCATTAGGGTCCCCACTAAGAAGGTCACGGATGTCATTATTGTAGATCTCAACAACAGAAACCTCAACTGAATGAGTATCTGGGGGCTTCTCTGATATCAAGCTGGAAAATGTTGAAAATAGATACAATGGAGTCGTTTAGTGGAAAACCTCTTCAAGTGGAATACCTCTGTCAGTGGAACAATTTTTAGAGGTACCAAAGCTGTTCCACTTGGTAAGGTTTAACTGTACATGCAAAAATCTCAATGTAAATCAATGAAGTGGTTTATCCCATTCATGTAATTTATAGTAAATGCGTTCAAATTTGGATGGTTTTCCATGAGATTTTCCTATGATAATATGAAACAGATGACAGCCACTTATAAAGGCATTACATTTGTTGACTGCAGTTCTGATTGAAAAGATGGACTTAATGGATTTGGATTGGATGGATTTAATTTGAATTTGCATTAAGTTTTTATATAACACTATTTAACATATATATTTAATTCGATTGGGTATGGCTAGATCAAAAGATGTATTTTTCAAATGAACCTCTCTTTTAAAGAAAAAAATCAAAACATTTGAACAGTGAATTAAGCTTCATTAGTGAATAATGTTGTTTATTTTATAGTCTTTTGAATCTGTACAAAAGAATTGTATCGCTTGAATATTAACTACTCTGGTAATTTATTACCTAAATAATTCTCTTGCAGCCCGGGGTATAATTCCTTCCTGTTTATGAGGCTCTTTGGATGGATGGTATTCATCGTTGCTATGGCTACCTAACATTGTATGTGTTTTACCACTTCCTGTTTGACCGTAAGTCATGATGCACACATTGTACCTGAAATATAGGTCAAGGGTCAAGTATAAGTACATGTAATCAAACATTAACTTTATTATGGGGTTGATTCAATGAATTTCACTGGATCTAAAGATTGATCTGGTTTAATTTTCAGAAAATAGTCAAGACCAGAAATATTATAAGGCATTAACATGCAAAATGTCACCACCTGTCATTTGTTACAGAGTCCGAACACTGACCACCATCCGCCAAACACAGTCCACAAAAAAGGTTGGAGACTATAGCACTTGTTGTGGTGACATATCAGCCAAAAAGATAATGGTATAAAAACCCAATACACTCTATGATTTTCACATCATCTCCACATACCCATCTAGAAGCGAAGTCAACATGGGCTGAACCTCTTCAAACACTGTGTCCTGATTCTCTAAAGGGGAGTACACTCTCTCAAATTCAAATGCCTTTGTCTGCTTGCTTGTCTTAATGCAAACATTCTCCTGTAAGACAATTATGAAGTTCAGGTAGTTTTACCACAAAAATATATATATTCAAAAGGTTTTCATATCTAGTTTGGTCCCTAGGGTCTTAAGATTTGAAGACCACTGAATATACAACTTGTATAAAGGTTTTATCTAGGGAGGGATTGTACGTTGGGTTTATTCAGAAAGAGGATATTGATATTTATCATTTACCTCAGGGGGATGACATATTTAACATGGAAATAAAATACTTCATGCAACTTATTTCATAGTGATCATGGTTTAATGTTGAACTTACATCATCTAAAACATGAACCACAACCTCTGACTGTGAGCCAACTCTGAAAATATATGCAGAAATTCAGTGATTCCATCAAAAAATGCAGAAACTGTACATTTATTGATGTTTGTTTCTTCTTATAATATTTATTTTAACTTAATCATTTAAATGAAATACCCTGTAAATATTAACAACTGATAATCAAATAATAATTGGGATATGGAACACAAACAAAATTAAAACTTAAGTTCTAAATATGTCAGCCAAAATTTATTATTATAGTAGAGTTGTACAAACCTTCCCAGAGTTTTGACGTCTTGTGAGCCCCGGTCAAAATCCAATAGAGGGCGCACTCTGCAATGTACCCTGATGTTGCCACGTAATTCCTGCAATGCATACAACAAATAATAAAGAGAATGACATATAATGACAGTTTCTCAATATAGGCTTTACTGTATATAGGCATTAGATAATAACTAAAGCAGTTGTGTTTCAGATGAAAAATGGAGAGAAAAACTGTTATGTGATGTCACTAAGCAGTTGTGTTGCACTGAGTGAAACTGAAGTTAAATAATATCTTTGTAAACAAATGTTAAATATGAAACTCAGAAAAAAATTATTTTAGATAAGTCTTCTAAAATATTTTTAAAAGTAAGTCTTATCATTTCGACCTGATTTGGTATGGTGTTAAATCAAAATGATGGGATACCATGAGAGTGTTGTGCAGCTCCCTGCGTCTTTTCTTCTCTTTGGCATGTCTTTCTAAGGCATCATGTAGCTGAGACTCAGTCTCTACAAGTTTCTGCTGGACATCTGCAACATTGACATTAATGCTTAACAAACTTTACACAGTTTTGGTCCTGTCAAAAGGGCCCAATAAAATATGATTAATTCTTTGGTTTTCTTGAGTTAGGAGTTGCAATTCAACCACTTGGTTGTACATACTGTATCTTTGTGTCCATGGACAATTATGGATTATGGATGATTTATTTCCAATTAATTTACAGTCATTTACCATAAAGAGTGAGCAGTCAATGGTTTAATGTCCATAGAAAAGTCCCTCTGAATATTACTCTATAGCACTAATGTAGTCCAGTAGTAATGTAACAGATTTTATTTTCCATTGAACATGTATTCCCAAACAGTGAAAATGTTTGGCATGTACATATTTTTGAATTAGAACTGCAGGGTGCAGATGTGTTGACATTACCTGTTAAACTTGAGCTATGTAGTTTGTATTTCCTGCTATGTTCATCTACCTTCTCCACTACATTGTTACATAGACCCCCTAGATTAGTTGGCATGGAAGACACATTCAACTTGAGCTCTTCTAACTCCTGCCTTAAACTCTGCAAACATATATGCAATGAAATCGCATGTTAAAGTAAACTTATGAAACAATAAATTGCTAGATGGTCTGATTGAACCACTGAGAATGCTTTACCCTTTAATCTGATGTATTCTTGCCAGTGGGGTAAGGTATATGCCTTTTCCCATAATAGGAGGTCATGACAGAGCATTTAGGCTACTATAAAATTGGGGACAACTCAAGTTTAATGCAAGTGTATTACCCCCCCCCCACACACACACACTCTAAAGAACCACTGTAATCATATGTACCTGCACATGTTTTGATACATCAGAGAATCCTGGTACTATTTGTCTCCTCTGATTTTGTTCAAATGAGCACATGCGTTTCCAATGTGTTGTGTCTTCTTGGTTGGCTCTGAACTGACCCTGGAGTTTAGCCAGGCGTAGATACAGCATGGCATTTTCAGTTTCGAGTTGGACAATTCGTTCATCTTTACCCTAAAATACATGGAGACAATTTACATTTCTTCGGCTCTGTTTCAGTATATAGTAAAAAAAGAAAACATACAACCATGGACTAAATGAGCCTGAAACACTAAAAAATTGTTACAATTTGAAATACTGATTATGAGCAACATTGGAAATATCTTTTAGATTTCATTCCATGTTCTAATTGCCATCTTCACATGCTTGGTCTTCACTGATTGAACAAAGATGTGTAAATGCTGCAATACAGAAAAAGAAGATAATACTTTACGATCATGAACTTCCTGTAGTGTATACTAACTGCATATTAGTTCTGTTATTGGCAAGAGGATTAATAAGACCTCCTGCATGATGATTACCATGAAATATTAATCATTACTTTACAAATGATAATATGATTGCAGCTTCTAGTATCAATTTAATAATATCTATGGAGCTTGGATCTATGTGCAGAATTTAGGGTAGTGATTGAGAGAAAATGTTGGACACATCCCTGACGTTGGTCATTCCCAGAGTGTGCCCTTCAGTCACTACATAATGAACATGTTTACATAGCTGATACAGTGTTGTTTATTCAAAATATTTCAGCATTAACAGAAGTACATATCAGGGGCGTATCCAAAATTTTCGAAAGGGGGGGTGTATCTATGTATCTCTAAAACAGTACATAGTTCTTCTTTCCTCTGAGTCTCCTTTTCTTCACAATCACCAACAAAATCTACAGAAAAGTAAAATTAGCACTAAAATGGGGTGTCCCCCATGGCATGCCCTCCACCTAGGGCAGATTGCACGGCCTCCAGCCCCCGCTCCAGCCTCTCGTCTCCTTGGTAAGCTGATCCACATACATCTAGAAATTGTGGAAAATGTGCAAATGAAGCTTGGAAACATGTGCTTAGCTTAAACTTCATATGAAATTCTGCCTGAATCGTGAATTATATGTCTGATATGCTCAGCCTCATATGGATTGAAAAATAAAATGGGCCATTCCATTTAAAAAATGTACGTGGGGTATGGATGCAAAATTCTGGGGGGGGGGGGGTGTTGACCGAAAAATTCTGGGGGGGGTAGGAGACCAAAAAATTTTTGGGGGGGGGGGTGTTGACCTAAAAATTCTGGGGGGGGGGTAGGAGACCGAAAAAATTCTGGAGGGGGGTATTGACCATGGAATATTCTGGGGGGGGGTATTTGCAAAGGCATTATGAAGGGGGGGGGTTAATAATAGGGGGGTGGTGGTGGTAGTCTGTGGGGGAGTATTCTATAGGGGTATAAGCAGGCCTGTCAACTGTCCCGCAATTTGCGTATTTGTCACGCATTTGCTGATGAATTTGAAGTCACGCCAGTTATTTTTGCGTGACAGAAAATGTCACGCAAATACGCATTTTACCTGGTAATTGTCAAGCAAAAATATTTCTGTAGAAAAAATTCTAAAAAAGATTGTCTACACAGCAAAAGTACGAACGCCGGAAAAAAATGTACGCATTTCGTTCGGACTTTTCACGCGGATTACATATATGTCACGCATTTAGTTCGAAACTTTTCGTACCTACCCCCCTTTTAAAAGGCGGTAATAAGTCAGTTAATGTACATGTATTTCTTGAGTATTTTGTGTATGGACTTGTCTGACACCAAATCTCAGTCATGTTTATTATTTCAAAATTTAATCCCAGCCAACAGAACAAAGTATGCTACAGCTAGCTGTATACAGGTTTTTCTGACTTTCATATTTGCAATGTATTTGTGATCCTATATAATGCTTAATGCTAAGATAAGGAAAACTTTGGTATGCTCTTGTTAAGGGTATAACTTTCTCTACAGTGTCATGGCTTTCATAGAACTCCTCTTCATTTCTGGAACAGTAAAACATGATTTCCCCAAAAACATGAAGAATCATTAAAATTAACAAATATGACATTTTTCTCTGAAACAGTTACTGCATATTATTTAAACATTTTTAAATTCAGACAATGAGAATTAGAATATCTTCATTCTCAAGTGAGATCAGTACATTTTCTAATTTATATCATACATCCTATATACTGGGGATCCACTTGATTACACTGGTTAGCGAAAAGGTTTGTCGGAACGTCGAAGGTACGATTTTTACATTCTTTCTCACAAACATGTATCAGTATCATATGTTTTTGAAAATGTACATGTTTGCGAAAAAATAGCTCAGAGGACAACAGAATCGTTACCCTTTGCATTTGTTTGACTTCACTTCTTAAAAGAGAGCTTCGTCTTCACTCTTTCAAACTAAAATCAACCTGTGAACTCACCGCGCCAATCAGTGTTCGTTGGCCAAATTTGACCGATGTTCTATATATGGTCATTTCTTCTGACGTCATCGTTGAGCCCGGAATTGTGTAATTTATGTTGAAGAAATAATAAATAATGAAAAAATATTGTAGTTACCAATGGAAACATTACATTTTAATTTTGATTGTGTGAAGTGAACAATGGTAGCGAGTTCAACTAACTAATTATGAAATATTCAGTTTTTATTTTTGCTTTTCATAATCATTTAGTCTGTTGAGAAAGTACACAGGTCATCTGAATATATCAGGATAAAACTATTACAACCTCAATATAACAAATTAGTGAACTTGTCTAGAGATCAGGATACATTACACTAGTAGGCACATGACCTTACTCTGAATTGAGAGCTACAAGGAGTATATAGTACACTAGATCCAAACAAAAAACAGTGTATGTGACAGTGACCTACATGTAAACTGCAATGTTGGAACCAATATATAGGTTCCAATCTGGCAATTACTTCCTTGTTCTTTAGACTTTTAGACAATTTGGTCAAATTATGCAACATGTGTAGCCTTCAAATATAACTTTATTCAAGTAGATGAGAGTATCTAGAACACTTTTGTTATAAGTTCATAGTATTATTTTCTGTCATGTCTGTTCCACATTTTGGGCATCTAATTTCAGTCATAAACTATGTGGTCACTTGCTTCACATATTGAACTTTTCATGTGTTTTTGAAAATATAGGACAGTAGTTTGAAAAGTAAACCACTGAATATTCTAGTTATTCATACATTCTAAAGAATTGTGAACCGTTAATAGGTACACTAATTTCTGGTAGTCAAAATTACATCACTCATTTTGTCTACATTATTGAGGAAGGTTATTTCAAACTACCAGCAATATTTTCAGACTAATTCAATCAGATTGTATCTTTAATACTATATACATACACTTTTTGTGCTAACTAGTACGTGACAATATACTGTTGAGACTAGATGTCATCAAAACCACCATAGCTAAGGCAAAAAAAGTTGACCTAGAAATATCCTGTTACAGTAATATAAGCAATAATTCATTCTGAGCGTATGACTTACTGACATTCTGTTAAAGGCACGTGTATATGGAAATATTTTGAAAATTTCTGGTACAAAATATAGTATGAAGGCATGTGTTTTATTTCTTTGTTTTTTTAAGGAAATTATCTTTGCATTGCTTTCTTTAAGTAACTGAGTAAGCCTGGTAATTATCTTGTGCCAAGAAAATCTCAGGTTATGCAGACCGAATCCAAAGAACATTATGTTATTTATCAAAAGACATAAAAGTCGGTGCTAGCTATGTACATATTTCTTACTTCAATTTAATCTAAAAACCAGCCTAAGTGTTCTCTCAAAGCCCAAAAGTTGCGGCTGTCTCAAATCGCAGACTTTTTAAATCGACCAGTATTTCAAAAGACAGCTGTAGCTTTAAGAGAATGTTCAAGCTAGTGTATAGAATCAATTGAGTAGACTACATCCTCTAGACGGTATTTTTTGAAATTTAGTTGGAAATACTCAGACTGTAAACGGCCTATGTTAAATGTTCTTGTTCAAACATATCTTTTTAATGTAAATTATAATTCAAAGTGACTGATGTAGTAAATTAATTTGCATATTTAAATTATTTTTAAGTTCCACTACATGTAGCTTTATCTCTTAGACTAGACAATATGCTGTGTTACTTTTTATGTCATTTAATTGTACCTTACTACCTAATTGAATTTTCATAATGTTTATTTTATTGAAGTAATGCTTCCTCTAATGAATTGATAATTTTGTGCAATACAATTCACCGCAATAACCACACGACAGAAAATAAGGATAACAAACTGAGTTCACACTCAGTCTGTTGGATACTAATCAATAATGAGGTAAGAAATATGTGCATAGCTGGTGCAGATATTTTTGGACTTGTGAAATATAACATGTGGTTCTATTGTATACACACCGATAACGTGGGTATTTCCATGAACATGTGCCTTTAACACTAATTTGTAAATTCTGCAAACTGATTGCCTATTTCAATGGTAGGAGCAACTTAAAACCTTTATATTGTTTCTCAAGGGGGGATTTTGCGTGTTTCGGGGGGGGGGTATGGATGCAATTTTCCAGGGGAGAGGGGTATGGATGCAAATTTCTGGGGGGGGGGGGGGTATGGATGCAAATTTCCGGGGGGGGGGTGGTATGGATGCAATTTTCTGGGGGGGGGGGGGGGGGGGGGGGTAGCAAGAAAAAAAATTCTGGGGGGGGGGTGTCTCAGCCTGTGCATCCATACCCCCCGTACATTTTTTAAATGGAATGGCCCAATCGAAAAAAATATTCACCTGAATTTGGCTGTCATATTTCTTGAGTTTCTCCATCAGAAAATGACTTTGATCCATTCCAATTGGCATGTTTATTTTCCAAAGTTACGCCTTGTAGTGCAAGTACAGGATATGTATTAAAAACTTGCGATAAAGCAAGAAAACATGAAAACTGATTTTGAATATTTTGTTTATTTTAGTGATCTCACATCAAATCTCGTTACAGTGTTTTCTCGCAAGAATATCTCGTTCCTTGTTCGTTTTATTAGAGGGAATCGGTAATAATACTGTACATCGTTGCTGTAGTTCAACATACTTAGTATTTCACCTAACCTAGGGATTAAATTAGAATGTAATTGTTATGCAATATAATCTGAGCAGACGCATGTAAAATCGAATTGAATTCCTCGATTCAAAAATGAAGTGTTCGCATTTCTGCTGCGAACTATAGATGGCAGTTTACTGTTACATGAAATTTATTAAAAATGAGACAGTTATTATGATAATTTCAGTCATCCATGCTGTAAAACTGTTTGAAAACACTATCAATAATATCAACGTACACAAAGTATAATCCAGCGAAAAGTTTGAATAAGTTGAATTTGAGCTAACGACAGAATACAAGGCCTTAGGCGATCAGAATTATTTTTTAAAAAATCGGACACGGACGTCGACGTGATTCATTTTCGATCTTCAAGAGAAAGTAGAAAATTGATTCCATGCATCATGTTTCGGGCGAAGAAGAGCCCCAAAAAACAAAAGGCTGCTAAAAAAGAACCAGCAAAGCATGAAAGTGAGTAATATTTTATATCAAAATACCCGCGATGTACAGTAGAAATCAGTAAATGATTGAATCGTGTATTATGATGATGATGAAAACTACACCCGATTTCGTGACTTCGTCGGTAGAACTTGAAATATAAGAGTTACCTGAAGACTAGGCCAGGAGTCTTACTTACCCTCTAGGGCTAGAGGTTAGAACACACATTTTATGAAACCCCATCACCTTTGTAGCGTTAACCTTAGAGCATTTAGCACAATATCAAAGAGGTAAAATATGGACCGTGAAAATGAATGATTTCCTTGTAGCCTAGGCCTAAGTTCCGGAAGTTTCATTACAATAAATTATCAAACATTTGTGAAAATTGAATGTTAATTCGTTGATTTTATAATTTACATGTATGTTTATTCTTCTATACTTTGGTCTAAATTATAAAGTATCAAGAACAGATCCTACTGTATTAATAGACTAATACAGCAGACGATCTATTCTGATTCGTACTTTCTGCGCAGCATTTCATTCAGACCAATAGTTCAACTGTAGATCATGTAGTTTCTGCTATCTTAGAACAGGCCATCCTCCTCTGCCCTGTCCAAAACTCGTCTGCAAACGACTGCAAAACATTATTTTTATTAATTTTCTAATGATGTTCACATCAGACATGGTTGGATGACATGTCACAAAATTAAAGTTCAAGGTCAATACATTATTTCGTGATGCAACACCTTCCCGGAAGTAAACACAAGGAAAATGGAAAAGTCCAAAAAGCATTTACATAAAATTTCAATCAAGTACCGTGTGCTTATATGCTTCATCATGAACAAGACATTTAGCTGATATGGTTTCATTGAAATGTGGGTTCTAAACTCTTGAGAGTAAGTAAGGCTCCTAATCTTCAGGTAACTCTTATATTTCAAGTTCTACCAACGAAGTCAGGCCGGGAAATCGGGTTTAAACTAGTGCTACAAATAGGCCTACATTGTAGCTCTAGCCTAAACCTAATGTTTGAGTAAATAAATGTTTTATTTTTGGGGGAAGGGGGTGTTTCTTTAAAAATTACATGGCCACCTATTTCAATCACTCACTTGTCTGCCTGTCTGTCCATATGTCTGTCCATCTTTCTGTGGTAGTGGTACATTTTATTAAAACCCTGGTCAATAGGTTGTCTGCTTTGAGTTATTTTTGTTCATTTTCAATAAAGAAAAAAGAAAAAAAACTGTAATTCCTTGTTCAAAAGCTCACCTGTTTTCAAAAGGGCCATCAATTTTGTTGCGGAAAATTCACTTTGTAATATGTTTTAAGTAAACATGGCAGCACATTAGACTGAAATCACAACACCATGTGTACTATTTATTAGATGCTTTCCCTATAGCATCATCTTATATACTACTAAATATCATATAAAAAACGTAGATGCATCATTAAAACATTGTATCATCACAATGCAGCTCAGTCATCACTGACTTTTTTGGCGAGCCAATAAATGAAAAGGGAGATATTGGCAATGTTTCCAACTTCAAACTGGGTCTCATACTAATTTGCTGATATCTTAATTTAAGCAAAATAGATGCAGAATTTGATACTGCACAAAAAAATTGCAATATAAGTGCAACTTACAATTACAAAAGACAATACTACGAAAAAATAAATGTGCACTTTTACGGAAGCATATTACTTTATTACGAAAATAAATTCAACAATTAAAAAATTAAATGCCAAGGCTAGTACTTATTCATTGTTAAATTTGACTACTATATTTCCAGAAACAAGGATATATGTGGGTACAAAAGGAACTCAATTTTTTGTATATACAAATACACAATGTGTCACTAACAAATGCTTTTAAGGACTTTTAAATGTATTTCAGTATAAAACATGTACACGTTATAACAAAATGAACAAAAAATGCAAACAATGAATAAAAATACTTAAAGTTACAAACATAAATATACATTTAACAAATGACAAAGTTCAATTTATGAATACATGTTGTAAATAAAATAACGAAGTAGAATACATTCCATATAAATACTAAGCAAGCAAAGTTGTTATTGTTGTTAGCACTTATTAAAAGTGTAAATTCAGAAATAGCAATTAGGAAGTGGCACTTGTTGAGTAAACAACTGCAGCAGTTGAGATAAAACACACTGCCGTTTTCAATTAATAGACTGATATGCAAACCACATTTTCTGGTAGTGGTGGGTACAACATAATTAAAGTTGGAGTTGGGGCATGTACAGTAAAGTCTGTCCTTAGTGAACACCTCTTACTAGTGAACACCTGTCTCTAGTGGACACCCTCCTCCACACATATTCTGCTAACTTCAGTATAAATTACCCTCTCTGTTGTGATCACGACCTACCAACACTTAACGTTTTTTCTTAGCAAAAAAATGTTCAATATACACAGGTTTTACTGTACATACTACAATAAAACATGTTCAAGTCAGACTGTCACCAAAATCATTAAAAGTGTCAAGTGAAAAATCATGAAATCATTGCAAATCACTCTCATAAAACCTCAATATCCTTGAGCAGGTCAAGTTGTCAAACTTCAAAAATGATTTATCATACAGTAAAGCCTAAGAATGTCACTTTAGTTGTTAAGTGCATGAACCAATGACCACAAGAGTTTTCTCAATAGATATGTTGTCTCAATATTAATTTGTGCATCCCCTTCTGTATCTAATAATAGGGGGTCCCCTGTTGGAACGTATTTCATTAATTTTGGATCTTGCATTTGTTCCAGAGCTGGCAGATGACTGGGGTGCTAACAATGACAAGGTTAAGGAAGGCGTAGTGTTCTATGTGAAATACTTAGGTAGCACACTTGTAGAGGAGCTTGGTGCAGGGCAGAGTTATGGGGATGCAATCAGTGCAAAGGCTGTGAAAACAATTGTTGAAATGGTAATATGGCTTGGCAGTAATTGTAATGTCTGTAGTTCGTAGAGTGGTTTGAGAATCTCTACTTTATTAAAAGAATTAAAAATGACTTCATATATTTACCCTTGACCAATTTTGTATTTGGAGTGATTGTGCTTTACATGTTCATTAACTCATTATGTATATTTACTCAAATACAATAAATATTCTCCTATTTGGCATTCAAATTCAGAATAGCCACCATTATAGGCAAAAATATCTGATGTTCTTGGCAATAACTTGATTACTTTTTGATGTGTTCGGTTCATAAAAGAAATGATCATCCGTCATGGACTGGATTGTAGTAGAATATTAGTGAAATGAAAAAAAACAGAATTTCTACATACATATTGTTACATTCTAGGCCAAGGCAGCTGGGGTCAATGTGTCTAAATTGCCCAGAATGGTGCTCAAAGTGTTCCCTGAGGGTATTCAAGTCTCTGACCTTGACACTAAGGAGGTCAAGTTTGAGACATCTATTTACAGGTAAGTTAACTATATATGACTTCTCAGTGATCTCTCTACATTTGTACTTACCAGACCTCAACATATGAGCATTTTAGGCTGAGCTGATCATACTGCCAAATATTTAACACATGCCTTAGCTATATGATATTGCTAAGCAAACTCATGGACTCATGAGATTTTGTTTGTATCGGTGTCTCCAGCATTGTAGTAAATGGCCACTGCAATCAATTGAGATTTTGCAAGCAGGCTAACGCTCCCCTGATGAACTCATTTACTCTGAATATACCAATTTGCTAACACTATTTGAGTTTGAATTAAGATTAAGAAATGTCACTATATGATAAATGTATGCTAAAATATATATTATGTATGTGTTTGAAATTAAATGAAATCAAAAAAGATGAAAAAACTCATTTGCATCAAGGTGATTAAAGAATCATGCGAGACACTGTTTATATAAAATAAAACTATGTAACATGTTTGAGTTTCATAAACCACTTTCTAGAAATGAAACAAATGAAGATTGAAGATGAAGAAAACAAATTTTGAAAAGATCCCAAAGAGTATATTATAAACCAACTTTTCACCAACTGCCTTGTAGATCAGTTATGTTATATGATTATAAGTATTATACAATTGTATTGTAGGATATCATTCTGTACTGCAGACAGCAATCAGGAAAAAATCTGTGCTTACATTGCGAGGAATTCAGACAATGAAACAATGGAGTGCAAAGCTTTTCTCTGTGCTAAGCGAAAAATAGTAAGTACTTTAGAGTCAGTTATCTCAGGTTCTAAGCCAGTAATCTCCCAAGTATTTTTTCTTGCGTGGGTGCAAAATTCTCATTTTTACAATTTAGACCAAAATGGGTCAAAACATGCCAATTTTTCATGATTTTTCTCATTTTCAAGTGGGAGCAACTGGATTTTCAGGTGGGTGCAAGCCTATTTCCAAATTCTCAGGTGGGTGCTGCTCCCACTTGCTTTAATGCTGGGGAGATCACTGTAAACTGTAATCAAAAACGTGTCAAGTAAATGATTGAATAATGGTCAAATATAATTTTTAGAGGTGTCAAGTATTAACCGGTTAACCGGTTAACCGCCGATAATGCCTTGACCGGTCTGAGTTTTTATGGGCGGTTAGTTGACCGTGTATAATTCTGTTATTTCCAGCGCTTATTTTGCATGCTAATCCGTTTGGTTTTATGGTGTCAGTTTCACGTAAGCTACTCATACATGTCATAAGTCCCGTAACTCCTTACAAACATCCAATCAGCAACTTTAATCCCTGCCACATTGCTTTCCCGCGCTTACTTTGCATTTTAATCTGTTTGTTTTTCAAGCGTCAGTTTCACGTGAGCTACTCATACATGTGATAGGTCCGATAATTCCTTACAAACATCTAATCAGCAACTTTAATCCCTGCCACATTGCTTTCCCGCGCTTACTTACATAGAATAGCGTAAAGCTTGACGAACGTAAAAAATAAACGCCGAGATATCATTTTTCCAATTTTTTTAAACTTTCAAGATCGAAGATGAAGATTTCATTTGAAATTATCAGTTCAAATTTCCCGCCGGTTAACCGACTTTAACCGGTAAAACCCCCCGGTTAACCGGTTAATGCTCAAGCGGTTAATTGACACCACTAATAATTTTGTCACCACAACAGGTTGTGACATATTGTTATTCTTTTTTATGGATGATGGTTAGTGTTGGGTTTGACATTCAGTGGTTGGCATTTGTAACAAATGTCAGGTGGTGACATTTTGCATGTGAATACCTTGTTCGTGAATCTATGACACCTCAAAGTTATAAATAATTTGAGGAAACTTTGCGATTCTAATGTTGAACTTTCCCTAAGAGACTTTTAGAGCTCTGTGGGAAATTAACACATGAAAACATATTTCCACATTCTTGAGTTCATTCATCAAATTATCAAATAACAAATAAAAAGTAACGGTTGCTGTAAGTATTAATGTGATTTACCTTATACTTTGCAGGCAGAGGCTATAACCTTAACAGTGGCACAAACATTTAATATTGCATATGAACATGAAACAAGAATTAAAGAAGAACAAAGTTTACAGAATACAATCAAGGTAAGTGTATATTGTATTGTGTAGGTTTGTTTTTCTAACATTTCCATCTGTGTATTCATGAAAAATTCTCAAAATTGTTGATATTTTTTCAGCATAATTATGATAAAAGCAACTTTTTTACATTTGCTTTATCCTTGTAAATTCCACATCATATAATAATGTATAATTTAAGTGCATAATGATGTCTAAGGACCATGGAAACTTTGAAATACTTACAAAACAAAAAAATTAATAATGAAAATACATGAGTTGTTAATGAAATTTTTAAATTATTTGAATTTTTTCATCTTAGGTGTCAGAAGCCCAAGACAACAGTATTGACTCAAACCAGAAAGATAAGAATTTTAATCCAGCATCAGAGATGAAATCCTGCCATCTTGAAATGTCTGATCCATGGACAGATGTGCTTAAACACTCAAATTCAACATCTGATCCAAGTGCAATCACAAACAATTGTAAGTTATATTTAAAATCACTGCAAGCATACCTAATGGAAATCTTCTCTTCCATATTGTGGAAAAAAGTAAAAGTTTGTATTATAATGCAGAACTGAACCTCCAGTAAAATATTTTGAAACAAGGGATCTTCACGTGTTTAGAACTTAAAATATCCTAAAAACATTGACCCCATGAATGATGTTTTGCCTGAAACAAGTGATATTTAGCATTTTCAACATGATTCTTCGAGAACCCTTCATTGAGCAGAACATTATATTATTAGATAATATGAGGTTATGTAAAGGTTGATTCCGTATATCGTGTTTATACTCAAGTGAGTATATGATATATTCACAACTGACTGAAGGAAACGAGTGAATATATCATATACTCATGAGAGTATAACGAAATACAGAATCAACCATTATATGATCTTAATATCCCATCCTAATCTTTAATCAATGAAAGGTTAATCTAAATTCAGCAGTTGTATATCAAGTCGAAGAGTTGTATACACCCAGGAGTTGTATAGGCTGCTCAGGAGTTGTATATCATTCTCAAGAGTTATATACGATGAGTGTTGGTTTTATATTGTAGTTATACAATGCTATTATACCATTCTGATACTCATAGCATCTTTCTGTTTCACCTGAAACATCTCCGGGCTGAGAAGAAATGAGATGTCATGGTTTATCATGATGCTATTATACAATCATATAAAGCACTTAGGGTGGGATAACAATGTTTATAGTACTATATGTCAATATGTTTGCAGTGAAAGGCAATCCAAGTTCAAGTCCAACTCTTGGCTCTGTTGGTAGTAGATCCCCAAGCAGTAGCACCAGCAGTAAAGATTACACAGCAGATGTCAAATGGGTATGTGTTAGCAATTCAAGTTGATCATAAGGCATTAACATGAAAAATGTCACCACCTGACATTTGTTACAGATTCCAAACGATGAACATTCAACACAGTCCACAAAAAAGTTTGGAGACAAAAACAAAAAAATCCAAATATCGACTTTAAGTGTATTGTAAACTAATTGTATTCCTCTGGACAGTGCCAACGATGATGAAAACTTTGAAGGAAAAATTCCCTGCCTAAAACAGCCAAATTCCTTTAGAATAAGATGCACCATACTCATATTGTTCAGAGTATTATTGAGGGTAATCAGTAATCACATTTATTATTCTCTTTCAGGAGGACTTTGACTTAGATTTAGATGACCATTTTTCACAGTAAGTTTGTAATATCATAAGCCTTGTGTCACCTGATGTCATACATATTGTTGTATACATATTTAAGCAAAACTGCACTCTATGATTTAATACTGTCAGTAAGATTACTAATCTAATCAGAACAAGTAATATACAAATGGTGTAACATTCAATCCATTTTATGTAACATCAAATGAAATCATGATTTATTATTTCAGACTTGCTGTAACTCGTAGCACTAATCCATCACAACCTGAACAATCTTCCACCTTTCAAGCAGACCCCTTTGTTACATCAACTCAAGCAGACCCCTTCTCAACCAGTAAATCGGACCCATTTATAGTGCACAAGTCTAAAGACCCCTGGGCTATCTTAGAACCACAAAAATTTAATCCTGCAACAGATGGACAAAATAAACCAGTTGAGCTCCCATCAGGGAATATGTTAGGTCTGCAATAGTTGGTGTCTCGTGGTTTTTCAGGGAACATATTTAGATTGCCAAAGCTGGTGTCTCATGGATCTCGTGTATGTTGTCATTGATGATCTGATTCATTTTATACCAACTTACAAATACACAGAGGCCTTCTAATGAGCTTATTAGGAATGAATTAACCTTCAACAAAATTTGGATTATTTAGTGGCAAATATACCAACATATTTTTCTTGTATTTGGAAACAATTGATTAACAAAAAAGCCAGATTATGAATGCTCTTTCAAGTACGTACACTGTACTTAGATGTGGATCCTCTGATTAAAGAATTATACGAATATTTTATGAGCCTGAACTGAATTGTCAGGTATCAATAGCACATTTTTGTATATTGCACTTTATTTACAGTATTTACTCTATAGATGTATAACATTATATAACCAGGGGTATCTATATGAGAAATATCAACTCTGTGATGCAAGGGAAGTTAGCAGTTAATGGAATTGAATAGTAGAAAATGGGTGCAATGGAAATGGGTACAATACAAAATGATAATTTTTTGATATTTTTACCCTACACACAGACTCTGCTATACAAAAAGAATCGGTGTGGATTTATGTGTGTGCAGTGCCTTAGTTTATGAAATATCACAAATACAAATTCAAAAATGATTGTTATAGTCCACACTGCATGCACATAAATCTTCAACGATTGTTTTTGTATTGCACAGTCTGCACAGAGTGATTTTAGTAAGTCATATTCCACTGCACCAACTCTAGTCATTGCAATTGGTTTGCATTGGCAAAATGTGAAACAATAATTAATACAATTATGAATTCGTTTAAGAGTTCGGAAAAGTTGAATGCTTTAAATGTTGTGATTAATTGTCACATTTTTGTAAAACTTACTGTTCTTAGTCCTGAGGTTTGTATTTGTAAAGGTTAAGCCAATTCAAGACTCCTTATAGCTCCCCTTCTGAACTATTTTTGCTCATAGTTTGAGATTAAAAGACAGGCCTATAGTATTAGTACCAATAATCTGTAATCCAAAGTGAACAAAAAAGGATAGAATTAAACATTTAAACTACTTATACCACTTAATAATCTCAGAAAACTTTCTGGCAAATGAAACTTTTGAAATTGATATTGATGTTTATTTATAGTGCTTGCATCAGGGCAATAAGGAGTCTTAGAGGGACAGAACCTTTGGTTTTAGTCAGTATTTTGGCTATATTTGTTACATAAGCTAAGAAATTCAGAACACATGAAAATTGTGTGTTTGACAGTAGTGGGCCACGTCCCTTTACAACTTCAGTATATTCTGACCATTGACATAAAGACAACTGACATTGATGCTAAGAGAATCTACATTTATGTTTCTCCGGGGATTATAGTCCTCACTTAACATGGCCCTGATTGAGTATAATAACAAATACTTGTAATTAGGTCACATGTATATCAATGAAGAGGGGATCATATCTGCTTAGATTTAATACCATTCACTCCATCAAAAGTGCCTAATCTGTATTTAATTGCCAATTAATCATGTAAAATGAAATGATTTTTTCAAATTGAATCCCGAGTGAGAACATCTTAGTGTATGACTATGTAAAAAGTTAAAACCTCTTGTTTAATGACTTTCAATTTACTTTTTTGTACATTTGTTATTCTTATTATTTAAGACTCATTTTCTATTGTTTTCTGTCAAGGTAGCAATTCTGCATCCTTCAAATGCAGGGCATCCTCCAAATGCAGGGTTCCAAACATCATCTACAGAGTTGTTATTGAGTGGATTTCTGGAGCCATTTGTTTGGAGAACGCAATACTGCAATTGTGTAGTAGTTGCTTTTCTTTGGCCTTTTTTCATAGTGTGATATTAAAGGACTTTTACACACAGTCGTCCTATTGGTAACTGAGTAACTCATGTTTGATAGGCCTCAGGGGTACTAAAGTGCTGTGTAAACCTGCGATATGTGTTCATGCCAATGCCTGTTTTAGGCAATATTCTACTAGAATTGTAGAAAATTTATTTTTTTGTAAAGACTGCTTCATTGGTGCTTTAATGAAATAACATTTGAATGAATGAAATCATTTAATATTGGTTGAGTGGAAAAGCCTTCATTTGCATGTATAGTATAACAACAGTTAAAACATTATGAATATTACATGGAACAATATTGTACAATTTACACAAATATTGATGCAGACATCAACTTATGGTGTAACTGTACTGTAACTTTAACATATAAGTATGTTCATGTATATCAATACTAGAAATTATTATAATTTTTCACAGGTATATATTAGTTTATATTATATATATTATATATATATTATCCTTGAATTTACTATAATTTATTAACTCTGCATGCTCAGCTGTCAGTATACACATTCACATACTAACAAAAAATTGTATAAACCCTGGGTGTACATCACTTTTAAATATCTTATAGCAAATTAACAAAGCTTATTGCTTGATAACATAGCTTATAGCAAAGTAACAATGCCAATGGCTTACTATCATAGCTTATACCTGAATAGCAAAGAAAGAAATCAAGCTCATATCAAAGTAACACAGTTTTTAGCTTCATGTATCTAAGTAACAAAGCTTATAACGTGGTAGGTAGGCACACTGCAATCTCATAGAGGGGTGGGATGATCTCTTTTTGATGTAAGATGTCAGTAGCATCACAACTAATCTGCTTCAATGATTTCATTGATTATGTATAAAATTTTCAAATTTGGCCCACCAATGTTGATTCGATCGTTGTCTTCTTTCTTTTGTCAAAACACAATTCATTGGGATATCAAAACCTTCTTTAGTCATTTCAGCAACTTATAGATGAAACAGATTAGAATTAGAGTAGACTGGTGGATATTAATTACTTATATCTGAGATAAGTATCCCACCCCTCATCCGATACACATTATATTTATATATATATTATATTGCTTATTTGCCAAAAATGTTTGGTTTAAATCGGATTGTTATTATTGATATTATGTTACCTGCTGGATATTTACTATTATCATAAATGTTACGATCTAGGCATTGTGCAGCTACTGTTTGTCAATCTTGCAGAATCATTGCTGAAATTCATGGTGAAACATTGTAATATGTTCTGAAATAAAATTTCCCATAAAAATTATATTTCTGTTATTTAAGTATGTACGTGTATGTGCAGGGTGTGTGAGCGTCCTCGTGCATTCTCTGACAGATGCTTAATTTCCCGAGAGGTAATGCAAGTTCATTAACGTTGTACCTTTGTTCTAAATCCGGATTCTGAAATAAGTATATGTGTTAATATTACAAGAAATTCGTAGAGTGTTTCAAGCTTGATTTCTAAGGACTGGAATTCTCAGAAATAAATGATCAATAATTAATATACATATTTAGGATCAGGAGAGTTATGCAAGAACGGTCCAAACGATCGCGAAGATATTACTCGGTTGTAATAACAGATTTAATTACTTCTGTAATATATATTTTATTTGATTTATAGATGTCTCTCGCAATTGTATCTGGATGTTGTTTAAATACCTTATAGATTTATGAACCATTGACCTGCTGATTTACCAAACCACTTGTAAATACAGAGAGCATACAGCACAGTGTCACGACTATGTAGTATTAAGAGGTGGATAAGTAAATACTTACTAACTAGTTAGATATATAAGATATAGGGCAGAGTAACTTTTACATTAGGTATACAGAAAAAAAATTACTATTGTATTTATTTGCTTTTTACTAAACCACTAAAAACGATACAAATCATTTTTTATGTATCAAGGTAGTTTGAATTGTCCGATTTTTAATGGTTTAATGTAATTACGTTTAGATTTTTTTGCAATTCTGAATAGTAGACCACTTAACATTCTAGGTGTTCCTCCAATCTCAACAGAATTATCAACCATAAATTAATAATCTAAGTCGGTACACCACTGCTGTAGACCATGTGCCAGAGTTGAAAATAGGTGCATGATCATGAAATTTCAAAACATATAGAAATATCATAATAGGACATGTTGGAGTCCACTGGTTTTTTTCAGGTTCACGTGCCTCTTCATACATGATATATGGTCTACATATATTAGTGCTGTGGTATATTTGAGCAGAGACTTTACATGTCTTCATGCCCATGGTTGTTGTTTATAAGACAATAATAGTTTTCTACAGAAACTAAACGGAAACTGGAACAGAAAACCATGACCGAGTCAGAGAGACCAGGAGCATCAGAGAGGTCATTCGAGGAACACGCATTTACTTGTAACTTCGCAGGCAGACAGAGTACAGTTTCAGTTGGAAGGGAGAAAATCGATATTGTGGAGTGTGCTGATGTTAAGAAGCCTGCAAAGGTAGCAAAATCTGATCAGTGAGTATGCACGGTATCTGGGTATATTATGAACCTAAAATATTCTCATTGAATCTCGGGTAGTCTTGCTTCAAGCCCCTTGACTATCTACTTTAACAACTGTGTCACAAGGGCTAGCGCAGGCGAGTAAATTAGTAAGCTGGACCATTAGCAGAAACTTAAAGTAAAGCTTCCTTGTTGTAACCATGGATATGATGATGTCATAGTAATTAGATAACAATGAACCTCATTACGAAATGTCTGTTAATGGCCCCCTGTTTTATATCGTCGTTCCTCTTCTCTTCAGACTGTATAGCTTAGCTTCATGATCTGCAGGTGAATGTAAAAAATGATACAAAGCAGTATCGTGGGATTGATATAGCAACCTCTATTTTATGAATCATGAATTTTATTGTACAACACAAGTTACCATGTGATAATTCCAGCATCATCCTGAGTGATGTACTTTGTGCTAAAGTAACTGGTCATTCTGAGGTGACCGTTCATGTGATACAAGGCACAAGCAAAGACAAGAAACTCACACTGAAACAAGTAAAGCTGTCCCTAAATGATACTGCACAGGTGGACACCCTCATGAAGAAAACAAACGATGCTATCAAAGCAATCACAGGTACTTTCCTTATGTCAATCCCTATGATCACCGATGCCCTGAGATGGAATGGCCAAATTACCCCCCCCCCCCCCCTTACGGCCACTACCATCAACACTCAAGAGATTAAACTTAAATAGTAGTATTTCCCTGTTTTCTATGGTATGCCTATTTCCACGACTTTCTCTGAGATCGTGAAGGATGTGAAGTCAACGCTACTAAAAATATATGCATTGTTGTCTCTAATTATATCCGTAGAAGGTGTCCGGCCAAGAAAATTGTTGGCGATAGTAAATCCTATAGGAGGAGGTCAGATTGGGGAGAAGATCTACACAACCAAAGCAGCGCCATTATTTGCCCTGGCAGGAATAGAGATATTAATGAAACGTAAGTCCACAACATCCTCGTCTTTACTCGGCTCCCGTTGGTCGAAGTGTCCGGAGGTTGGTGTCGGGTGGTCGGCGTCTGTAAGTTCTTACAACTTCCAATAACCAGAGACATGTTTTATATGTCTCTGCAATAACTTAACAAATACTTTTAAGACTGACTTCAATTTTTTCAAATTGACCTACAAGTTCTAAGAAGTTCAAATCTGACTGAAAATTTGGGATTTGACCTCCAATCACATTCTAAAGGTAAAAAAGTCAAAAATATATTTTTAAAACTTTCTTCAAATTGACCATTTTTTCAAAATTATCTGCAAGGTCTCAGAAGTTTAAATCTGATTCTAGATTTGACATTTGACCTCAAATGACCATCTCAAGGTTGTTTCAAGATCAGCCATAAATTCAATTCTGACTTAAGGTTTTATTTCATAATATTGTGAGCAACTTGGTGGTGACATGCGTCATGTTAATGCCTTTTTTATCTTGATATACCTTAAAAAAGAATTTTCACTTCAATGCACCCAGATCCATTTTAAATAATTTAAATCATCACGTTTCTTTGGTGCATTTCAGTTGAATGCTTTATATTAAAACTCATTGATAACTGTCGTTTGCAATCTGAGACCAGGGGCGGATATGAAATCAAACAAGCGGCGACATTTCAAGTCAGAAAAAATATTTCCCCAAAATATTTTGCCCACCTGAAACCAAAAATTAGGCCCACTTTACTCACGGTCACTCGAAAAGTGTCAAAATATAGATATATATACGGTTTAGTAATGGCTCTTTCAATTAATGATGATAAAATGATTTCTTATTATATATAGAAGCAATCATATTTCAGTGTCTGAGAGACCTAAACATGCGATAGAACTTGCAAGGGAAACAGATCTGAAAGATTTTGATGGGTGAGTATCATGAAGAAATTTGAGAGTCAGAATGCAAAGTAAACGTTTTGGTCAGAACACAAGTGGCACAATAGTTCAATGATATACAGGGTGAATAAAGTCTCTTTACAAGGGTTAGATACTTTGTATTGTAATTGTAAACATACTTTCATAGACACCCTGTATTCTCTCCAAATATGTAATGCCAAACGTTTTACAGATATTAGATCTATATTTTAGAGTAGTGACAGTTGGCGGTGATGGGACGTTCACAGAGGTGTGTAATGGTCTTATAGAAAGAAACCTCAAAGATGGCGCTCCGATTCTCCCAATAGGAATCATTCCCGCAGGTTAGAGAATATCATTATATGAGCCAGGCCACAGGAAAAGGGGTTTTATCACAGATTTTTCAATATTATGATTTTTTGTTTATCTTAACAAGCACAAAAAGACCTTTCAAATGAGCCATGACTTATGTCTTAACGATTTTTCCTTGCATATATAGACCAAAAATTTGGATTTCAATTTAGCACATTTTTGGCTCTGTAGCAAAATCTTAATTTTTGTGATAAGACCGGTTTTTCTATGGCCAGGCTCATATAAGTTTATAAATACGAAACAAGACGATTTTCGAACTGGATTTCCTTTCATGCATGCTAATTATACATTGAGCCAAGAAGTGATTTTTTTCAGTAAATATTCTTCCTGAGAGATCGGATTTAATTTTTTCAAATCGTGAGAAATGGTCAAAATCACTTGAAAAGTGCTTAGAATGGTGAAAAACTGCATGATTATGAAATAATTTTTTTTTCTCGTTATATAGGTACAGGGAATGGAATGGTTAATGGATTTTCGGGAAGTTATGATGTCACCGCAGCAGTGCTTACAATTATAAGGGGTAAGTGTCAAGGATACTTCGGCATTTTTACTGCTAATGAGCGCCAGGTGTAAAAGGGTAGGAGGTCCTATTAATTTATGGTCATTATACTCTCCATTGATTTATATCGTGACATCTTTCTCTTACTATCTTATTACACAATCAGGGCCAGTAAGGAGATCTGATTATTAGTCCCGAGCCCGACAAATGTTTTTCACAGAGCGGGATATAATAAATCACAGTTACACTGTCACGTAATTTTATAGGGCTCGCGGGATAGTCGCAATTGCAAACACCTTTATCCCGTATGAGCACTTTGTAGCACTGAGCCTCGGGACAGTCAGTTTCTCAAACTCACTGTCCCGTAATTTTTTTTTTGCAAACGACGGGATATAATTAATTGAGACCTGACATATCCCGGCGCTGGGTAAAAAAATTTGCTGCGGGATAAAGTGATTTCAGAACTTGACTAATGCTGATCAAAGTATATGCTATCAAGCCATCACACATCTCTATGTAATTACCATACTATATTACCCTTGCAAATAATTTCCATTTTTCATCATTGTACTGAATTATATCAACATCAGTCTTTAATCTTTGAAATGTTGCTAAAGTCTATTGGGAGGGGTGGCATGTACACACTTGATTCATAATGCTATTGTTTGTGTGGGGGGAGGGGGCATCTCCACACTTGACTCATATCATGGTCTATAAGAATCACAACTGTCACACATCATCATTCCATCTGGTATCATTTAAGTATCTATGAATATGATTTGTAGTATGTACATAAATCCTTGTGCGCCATCTTGTATCATATATTATGCCTATTGTTGTATATGTCTTTTTATTTTTTAATCAGCTAATATATATGTATATAAATCCTGGTGATGTAATGTTGTCATTTCTCAAGCCATCTCATATCATTTATCATCCTAATTGTTCATCTGTCAACAGCTCCTTCCAGTGAATTAAATAAAAGTTGTTTTTTACGATAAATACAGGTGAAGTATTGCGGCAATTCCACATGCAATCTGTTTTTCCATCTATTCCCTGCTGTTATTCCACCATATTCTATCTATATGTTTTTGACATGCTGATTACCCATGCCATACATCCTGAAATAAGCAAATAAGATTTATTTACCAAATATGAACAAAATCGCTCCACTACTTTTCAATTTATAGTTAAAAAAGTAAAAATGGTCGCCATTTTTCAAAATGGTCGTCTACTACCCAAAGTGTCATTAGACAGTGTGCCATGCTTAAAGTATTCACATATAAAAATATGAACAAAATCGCTCTACTACTTTTTGAGTTATAGTAAAAAATGTAAAAATGGTCGCCATTTTTCAAAATGGTCGCCTACTACCCAAAGTGTCATTAGACAGTGTGCCATGCTTATAGTATTCACTCACATACCAAATATGAACAAAATCGCTCCACTACTTTTCAATTTACAGTTATAAAAGTAAAAATGGTAGCCATTTTTCAAAATGGTCGCCTACTACCCAAAGTGTCATTAGACAGTGTGCCATGCTTATAGTATTCACATATAAAAATATGAACAAAATCGCTCTACTACTTTTTGAGTTATAGTAAAAAATGTAAAAATGGTCGCCATTTTTCAAAATGGTCTCCTCCACCAAAAGTGTTATTAGACAGTGTGCCATGCTTATAGTATTCACATACCAAATATGAACAAAATCGCTCCACTACTTTTCAATTTATAGTTATAAAAGTAAAAATGGTCGCCATTTTTCAAAATGGTCGCCTACTACCCAAAGTGTCATTAGACAGTGTGCCATGCTTATAGTATTCACATATAAAATATGAACAAAATCGCTCTACTACTTTTTGAGTTATAGTAAAAAATGTAAAAATGGTCGCCATTTTTCAAAATGGTCGCCTACTACCCAAAGTGTCATTAGACAGTGTGCCATGCTTATAGTATTCACATACCAAATATGAACAAAATCGCTCCACTACTTTTCAATTTATAGTTATAAAAGTAAAAATGGTCGCCATTTTTCAAAATGGTCGCCTACTACCCAAAGTGTCATTAGACAGTGTGCCATGCTTATAGTATTCACATATAAAAATATGAACAAAATCGCTCTACTACTTTTTGAGTTATAGTAAAAAATGTAAAAATGGTCGCCATTTTTCAAAATGGTCTCCTCCACCAAAAGTGTTATTAGACAGTGTGCCATGCTTATAGTATTCACATACCAAATATGAACAAAATCGCTCCACTCCTTTTCAATTAATAGTTATAAAAGTAAAAATGGTCGCCTACTACCCAAAGTGTCATTAGACAGTGTGCCATGCTTATAGTATTCACATATAAAATATGAACAAAATCGCTCTACTACTTTTTGAGTTATAGTAAAAAATGTAAAAATGGTCGCCATTTTTCAAAATGGTCGCCTACTACCCAAAGTGTCATTAGACAGTGTGCCATGCTTATAGTATTCACATACCAAATATGAACAAAATCGCTCCACTACTTTTCAATTTATAGTTATAAAAGTAAAAATGGTCGCCATTTTTCAAAATGGTCGCCTACTACCCAAAGTGTCATTAGACAGTGTGCCATGCTTATAGTATTCACATATAAAAATATGAACAAAATCGCTCTACTACTTTTTGAGTTATAGTAAAAAATGTAAAAATGGTCGCCATTTTTCAAAATGGTCTCCTCCACCAAAAGTGTTATTAGACAGTGTGCCATGCTTATAGTATTCACATACCAAATATGAACAAAATCGCTCCACTCCTTTTCAATTTATAGTTATAAAAGTAAAAATGGTCGCCATTTTTCAAAATGGTCGCCTACTACCCAAAGTGTCATTAGTCAGTGTGCCATGCTTATAGTATTCACATATAAAATATGAACAAAATCGCTCTACTACTTTTTGAGTTATAGTAAAAAATGTAAAAATGGTCGCCATTTTTCAAAATGGTCGCCTTCTACCCAAAGTGTCATTAGACAGTGTGCCATGCTTATAGTATTCACATACCAAATATGAACAAAATCGCTCCACTACTTTTCAATTTACAGTTATAAAAGTAAAAATGGTAGCCATTTTTCAAAATGGTCGCCTACTACCCAAAGTGTCATTAGACAGTGTGCCATGCTTATAGTATTCACATACCAAATATGAACAAAATCGCTCCACTCCTTTTCAATTTATAGTTATAAAAGTAAAAATGGTCGCCATTTTTCAAAATGGTCGCCTACTACCCAAAGTGTCATTAGTCAGTGTGCCATGCTTATAGTATTCACATATAAAATATGAACAAAATCGCTCTACTACTTTTTGAGTAATAGTAAAAAATGTAAAAATGGTCGCCATTTTTCAAAATGGTCGCCTTCTACCCAAAGTGTCATTAGACAGTGTGCCATGCTTATAGTATTCACATACCAAATATGAACAAAATCGCTCCACTACTTTTCAATTTACAGTTATAAAAGTAAAAATGGTAGCCATTTTTCAAAATGGTCGCCTACTACCCAAAGTGTCATTAGACAGTGTGCCATGCTTATAGTATTCACATACCAAATATGAACAAAATCGCTCCACTCCTTTTCAATAAATAGTTATAAAAGTAAAAATGGTCGCCATTTTTCAAAATGGCAGCCTTCTACCAAAAGTGTCATTAGACAGTGTGCAATGCTTATAGTATCCACATACACTACCAGTCTAAAAAGTTAAGTTCGAACCCTGCATACCAAATATGAACAAAATCGCTCCGCTACGTTTCAAGTTACAGCAAAAATCGTAAAATAACGAGTAAAGGCCGCCATTTTTCAAGATGGCTGTCATTTGCTTCTTTCATATCTACATTCTAGCTTTATTAATGTCCTATATATATTTTTTACATTTGAAACATATTGCTATTACAGTTTTACATATTGCACCTAGATTACTGTAAAATTGGCACTAAAATGGCCACCATTTTTAAATGAGCAGCCATTTTGAAAATCGACTTTTAAGCAGAATTCTACCCCCATAGGGTATATGTGTACAAAATATGAACAAAATCGGGCCAACGGTATTTGAGTTATTGCCCAGACGGACGGACAGACGTAATAAGATTTGAATTATAAACCATCGAATTTGACTTTTGAAACACTGAAATATGACTTTTGAAACAAATTTTTTAAACCAAATGTTCTTCGAATGCCAGGTGTTTGTAAAAAGCAATAAGCCTTTCAAATTGGGAATTTTTTTGAAATGCCATGTGATCTAAAAATTCACAGGGGCCTAGGATGTTAACTAGAATCAAATAAACAACATATTTCTTTTCTTTTGTACCTAGAGCTGGTCTCAGCCTAGAGTTTTTATTGCAGAATAGACAAAAAGTTTGTGAAATATTCCCAGGAATATTAAACAGGGAAAAACATGTGCATTGGCATTTTGTTCAGTGTGTCAACGGTGGTTTTGACACGATTTACAATTTCAATGTTACCGCAGTCTGAACAGACCCCAGGAACCGACTTTTCCAAAGCCATCTTCAAATGAATCACACTCAGGGGTATATGGGATGATGTGTTTTTATTCATAAGGTATGTGAGTACATGTTTGTATGCTTGCATTACCCATTTCAAAGTCTGTGTCTGATTTTTAGAAAGCCTTTATTTGCATAATATACATCACTTGGTAATCGTAACAGCTTAAATTAAAATACTGAATTCAGCTGCTTACTTTAGGCTAATATTTCTCCAAATGTTCCTATCATCAGTGGCCATGCTTATATTGTAAATATAAAAGCATGAGTGTATGTACTAACCCATTCTGATAATGCAATCAGGCTTCGCCTTTGTGCATTATGTGTACGGGTTAGTACATACACTCATGCTTTTATATTTACAATATAGAATGATACATGATTCTTTATTCCTTAAAGTACCCGGAGATTTCCCAATGAAGGTGAACAAATGGCTGATTTCCAGGTGTACACATTTTTCATATTTCATCTTATTTATTCGTTACTTTCCATTAAAACCACCAT